AAAGAAACCCATTTTGGTGTCAATAGAAAAGTTGTAGAGAATAAAAAATGAAGCTTATAGCCAAATTTCCAAAAAGATACACTTGGTAGTTTCGCTTAAAATGCAAATTTTGTGAAAATTCGTAAATTTGGCATTTCTTGAAAACCAGTTTTTGAATCGTTCTGAAAATTTGAATATAAGCTTGATTTTTGATTCTCTACAACTTTTCCATTGACACCAAAATGGGTTTCTTTTGAAGAAAGTGCTCAAACTGTCACCTATGATAATAACCCGCAGTTTTCAATTCACCAACCCAATATAATGAAATATAATGAAAAAAAAGAATTATAAGTCTTCTAGTTTCTAAAATAAACTCTTACTTGCAATAACAATTGCTTTAAGTCCAAAATCTCTTGCATATTTCATTCAAAAATCTTCTTTATGTTGCTTTGTTTGGGTGTTGATGGGTTGTCACTTGTGGATGATGAATTGAAATCGTTTTGGGGTTTGAGCAAGATGGATTGGTGAAAGGTGTGACACCGCTCACACTTCCTCTTTCTTTTCATCCTTTTCCTTTTCTTCACAATTGCCCAGCACCCATTTGCATACTAATTTCGAGCGCGCGATTATTGAAACGTCTTGAAGAAAGGAAAGTCATATCAAGAAAAAGACCGAGAATATCGATGACATCTTCTCAAAGTTTATTTTTAAAAGCTAATGCTAAACTAATAGAAAGTCTGAAAGAAATTGTATGAGAAACTAGGGTTTAAGTTTAAAATCAGTTACCTAGGTACTTCAAATCTGACATTCTTTATGACACTTTATTGAGTTTCTCGTTATTCAGAATTCTTCCAAAATCTATCTATCGGACTAAGTTAGATTAAAGGTGCAGACTTGGCTTTACTCCATCATCAGAAGAAGCCTTCTGATAAGAACCTTATCAGAAGACTTTACTGTAGGAGTTTAGCTAGAAGATAGACATCATGTCCTGCTTGAATCAGCCTTGCTTGAACCAGCCTTGCTTGAACCAGCCTTGCTTGAACCAGCCTTGCTTGAACCAGCCTTGCTTGAACCAGCCTTGCTTGAACCAGCCTTGCTTGAACCAGCCTTGCTTGAACCAGCCTTGCTTGAACCAGCCTTGCTTGAACCAGCCTTGCTTGAACCAGCCACAAGCCCGCTAGATCTGGATCTAGCTTCAAGCCTGATTTGGGCTAGCTTTTGAGTCTCTATTTGAAACCATTACCGCTCAAACTTTTGCAGAAAATCTAGAAAAATGGATTCAAAGAGAACAGATGTTCTTGTAAAATCGATTTTTTTTCTTTGATTTCATTCATCAATTCCTCTATTTCTATGCGTTTGCTGGGCGCTGTATAATGAGAGCGTTGAATCATCGTCTATTTTTTTCCTATTTCTATGCTCATATTCTCTAGAAAATGTGTCACTATTAGGCAACACTTGAAAATCTTTTCAAAATATAAAGCCAATCAGCCAATATAAAGCCAATCATTTCAGCTAAAATATGGTTAATCAGGTTAAGCAAAAATAGACAAATTAATGACGGAAATTAGCCTCCAACTCTGTTTAGAAAGCTTTTAAAAACAATTTTTATTTATTCAAATCTTTCATTGATTACTTTAAAGTGAATATCATAGTTAAATATGATAATTAGATTTTATAGCTTAATAGTTGAATGTTCAAACAACTCTAGCTTCATTCTTGGCTCTTCACAGCTCTTCACAGCTCTTCACAGCAGTCCTTTAGGAAAGCTTAAACTTAAAAAAGGTAAACTTTGTATATTCTTTCTTTCTTTACTTGTTATTCTTTTATTCTTCTAAATTTTACATTAACTTCTTGACCAATTTATTTCTCTGAATCAACTCTTCAATGTTCAAACAACTCTAGCTTCATTCTTGGCTCTTCACAGCTCTTCACAGCTCTTCACAGCACTCCTTTAGGAAAGCTTAAACTTAAAAAAGGTAAACTTTGTATGTTCTTTCTTTCTTTACTTGTTCTTCTTTCATTCTTCTCAATTTTACATTACCTTCTTGACCAATTTATTTCTCTGAATCAACTCTTCACTTTCGTAAAACCTTAAAACTCTTGAATCAAGCTTGATGAAATGTGAAGAGACAATGCTTGCCTTGTAATTTGGTATTCTCTTCGATCTCTTTTGAATTCTTTCTTTTAGAAGTCTTTTAGAAGTCTTTTAGAGCTTTGACCTTAGCAAGAAAGGATTGCAAACGTCGTTCAGAATTTCCCCCGTTTCTCCATTTGCCGGTTCCGTCCTGTACAAACAGCTTCTCGCAATAGGAAAGAGAAAAATAAAAGAGGAAAGGAAAAGATGGCCATTGTGCTGACCGCTATAGGGGAAAGCAGAGATGGGGAGAAGAAAAGATTTGATGAGGAGAGGGGGAGGGGATGCAAGGGAAGGGGCGGGTCTTCCACTCCTCTGCTAGCGATTCTTTTGAAACACTTCTATTCCATCTAAATTTAACATTGATACATTGATTTTTATAATAATACCTTTAAAGATTTAGTTTTTACTTTGATTTCTAAGCTTAGAGTCAGATTCGTTGTCCTTGCCGACTTTTCCTTTTCCACTTTCTTTTAGCACAACTGTCAATCTTATTTTAAAGTTTTTAAGTCTTGAATTATTCTATAAAACTAGCTTAACGTTAACTTAAAAGTTAACTCTAGCTGTACTCAAGTGGCCCTCAAATATAGACCAAAATCGGCTAAGGAGTAATTCCAGTCTTGGCTTTTTGGAATCTTTTCATAGCCAGGCTTGCAAGTAGCTCAAGAAAAGTTGTAAGCAAAAAAAAAATAAACCCTTATCTATAATCGGATCAGTTTTTAAAGATATTTTCAATCTCAATCAGTTTCCCCATAAGCTTAAACCAGTTTTTTTAGCCAAATCATGAAAAAGTAAAAGCCATCTAGATTGATCTTAAGCTTCGGATCGATTTCGATGTCTGGATTGTCTAGATTGTCTAGATCTAGATGTCTAGATCTAGACAATCTAGATGTCTAGATCTAGATTCGATGCTCACTAAATCATTCATTTACATGAAAATTTCTTCTTTTCCCCTTTTCCTCAATCTACTCTCACCTATTTATTCAGCTTGTCAATCTCCAAATTTAGCGACACGTTGACAAGTGAAAGAGCTTTTTTTCCCCTCCAATTTAGTCAGATCCCCATTTTTTTCTCTGAAATTTTAAACTGAACTTTTAAACAATCTAGACATCGAAATCGATCGCTTCTTTTCTCGCGTTCGCTTCTTTTTCTCGTTGTCACCAATATTTCGACTCGATTTGAGAGCATTCAAATGAGCTATCACGTAATGGGCCTATTAATTGCTTTTTTTTAAAGCATTTGCTTAAATCTGAAACCTTGGCCACTGCGTCCGTGTACCGTTCATCTTGAGCCAACTTCAGCATCAGGCTTCGGCCTAAGAATTTAAATTCTCAAATCAATATTGTGTTTCTTGAAATCAAAATGTTTTAGAGATGAGATGAAATTTTCAATGTCGAAAATCCTTTTCTAAGTCTAGTAATTCCTACTAATAGTTTTCAAAGAAAGAGAAAAATCTGAGAGAAAAACTAATCGCTCTACTCGGGAATCGTTGATCATTTTGTTTCTCTTTTCCCCCTTTTTCTTCTCAGTGTATACAAGTGCTAACATAATAATTCGGCGAGTAATCTGGGCATAGAAGAAAGTAGCAATTGAAGGCTGTCTTGTTTGTATACACCCTTACGAAAAGCAAAAGAAAATGCCGACTAAGAAAGCAACAACGAAATCTGACCCTTTCAATTCCCCTTTTCTCCATTTGACAACACTTTTTACATCTATTTTTTTCAGCTAACTTTAGTTTAGATTAGCCAATTTCTTTACCAAAGCAAGTTCTTGACAGCCTGAAGTACAATAGATGCAAGTATCAGGCTTGAGCCTAACAGTGTTTAGCATGACGTCATCTCAAAAGCTATAGCTTTTCTGAAGTGGGCAAGATGAAAAGTAGTGTATTTTGACGAACATTGCCATTACTAGTTTCCCATTGTCCCTTTACAAGTTCCCATATCAATTCACAGATTGTACTCAAAGCTATTGCAGCTATTGCAACAATTGCAGCTATTGCAGCTATTACAGCTATTGCAACAATTGCAGCTATTGCAACTCTTGTACTAGGTGTTTCTGTTTGCAAACGTAGGCACACTAAATCAGCTAAAGCTTGGGCCAAAGAAGGAAACATGAGCTCCGAAAAACCAAAATCTTTCCCCCAACTCAACAAAAAAGAAACCCGGACAGCATCACAAATTTGGAAAGCATCATGTTGTGGACTTGGATGGATCGGGATAGAGTAAATCCCTCTCCTCTCCATCATTCCATTCTCATCTCCTTTTTTCCTTTTCCCCTTCTTCTTCTTTTTCTTCTTCTTCTTTCCATTTCAGATTTATTCCCTTTCTCTTCTGGTTAGCCAGGGTTAGTCTTGGGTTCTGGTTAGCCAGGGTTATGCTTGGTTTCTGGTTAGCCAGGGTTAGCCTTGACTTCTGGATAGCCAGGGTTAGGCTTGGCTTTTGGTTAGCCAGGGTTAGCCAGCTCATGAATTTGTTGAATAAATCCGTCACAATGAAGTCATCCTAAAAAGATCCTACAATCCTTGTATAGTCTTCACTTTCCTCAGCCAGTAACTCAGCCGAGCTTCTCTCATTTCCCTCTCCCAAACTCTCAAAACCAACCACTAATCGAATAATCTGCAATCCATCGTAAAAAAAATTGATCGAATCACTCCATTTTCCTATCCTTTCTGTATACAAAAAGACCTATGTGATGTGAAATGACTGAGAAAACAATTGTGTTTTTGTTCTCATGCATTATTCCCTTTTCCCTTCATCTCTCATATTTGTTCTATGGCTTTTAAGCGCCTTTTTTCAATTCTTTTATTTTGAATTTCTTTGTTTTTAGTGTTTAATCTTTCAAATTAACTTTTTGCTTCATTAAATTGATAATCTTTTTCAAGTAAAGAATGCGAGATGTACAACTGGAAAAGAGTTGGATATTTTTGGTGTTGTTGATTCTCGTTGGACTTTCAAGTGGAGGTTTGTGATAAATTTTAATGTAAAAATTGATTTTTAAATCAAAAATCAAAAAAATTAAACCTTAAAAGAAGATTAGTATCTCTAAATATTAGGTTGATGCAAAAGTCTTTTCGTTTTTTTCGTACTTCTGTTAAAAAGTAACAAATTCACCAATTAATCTATAGTTTGCTCTATAAAAAAAGTGTTTTTTTGTTCAATTTGCATCTTTTTAAATCAATTTCGGTTCACTTTCAAGCAAATTCGAAAATAGCTTAAAAAGAAAATAGCTTAAATATTGGGTTGTCCAGTTATGAATGCGCGTTTTTACTATTTTGTAAATTTCTCAAGCTATCGAACAGATGTATATGAGTGTTATATATCATTCGAAAGCTGAAGATCTCCTCTACATTTTGATATAAAAACCTTTGGAATTTGCTCAGCTTTTGGGCAAATTGACTGCACAAAGGGAGAGGTCGTTTTCGAAAAAATTCATTTCAGCTTAGCTATTCCTCAAGTTTTATGGTGTAAAATAACCGCCCAGAAAAGAAAAGAAAAGTAAAGATGCTCTGAAGTTGTTATATTCTTAAAAAAGGTGTATTGATATATCTATTCGCCAAATATCAAACGGTTAACTCAATTTGAGCGGAGCCAAAACTTGATCCAATGGCATCCTTCCATTTTTTTGGCCACCTCTTCTTCTGTGCAGTGAATTTGCCCAAAAGCTGAACAAATTCCAAAGCTTTTTATATCAAAATGTAGAGGAGATCTTCAGCTTTCGAATAATACTCATATATTAGGTTGATGCATAAGTCTTTTCGTTTTTTCGTACTTCTGTTAAAAAGTAACAAATTCACGAATTAATCTATAGTTTGCTCTATAAAAAAAGAGTTTTTTTGTTCAATTTGCATCTTTTTAAATGAATTTCGGTTCACTTTCAAGCAAATTCGAGAGTGAAAAACGCCTTTTTCGTAAAAATCTATAAAAAACTCTACGGAAAAATTGGCTGAATGAATTTCTCTGAAATTTTGGCGAAATATCAAACGTTTTTTTTCTCTATCTTTTATCTATTGACACGAAGATAGGTTTTCTTTAGCTAAGGTGTCTAAACCGCATCATCGAGTTAGCCCTTTTTGACTACCCGACTTCATACTCTCAAGAAAATCCAGGCATTAAATATTTTTAAACCCATTTTAATGTTATTTTGCAGAAAAATAATTGGTTTTTCTAATGAAATCAACCGTAGTTTAATTGGTGCATTTGTTGGCTTGAAACGGCAGACGAAAAGGAACAAAAACACTTATGCATCAACCTAATATTAGATTTTCTTTTGAGAAAAGATTTAAGCTTTTTTCTTTCAACAAGTTAGATTGGTTAGACTTTCCCAAGCCAATAACTCAGCCGAGCTTCTCTCCTTTCCCTCTCCTTTCCCTCTCCCAAACTCTCGAAATCAACCACTAATCGAATAATATCGTTAACTAAGCCAGTCAAATTTTCAATGAAAAATTACTTTTTTAGTTTAAAAATGGATCAAATATGTGATATTATAGGATTTTTTATAATCTTGAACTTGTTAGAAGTCTAATTTCTAATTAGATTTTAAACTTATGAACAATATTGTTTGAAACGAGCTTAGAAAAAACTCTAAACTTAAACAATTCAATTCTAATTCAATCAGAAGCTTCTCAAGAGTTAAAATCATTGATTTATAACAATTTTATCTAACAAATTCTTATCTAAACATGCTTCTTTATTTCTTTAAACTCTTTTAACAACTCCTCTTCAACTCTTCTTCAATATTTTCCGCACGAATGCACAAACAACAACTCTAAACTTAATTCAATTCAATTCTAATTCAATCGAAAGCTTCTCAAGAGTTAAAACCATTGATTTATAGCAATTTTATCTAACAATTTCTTATCAAAGCATCTTTCTTTATTTCTTTAAACTCTTTTAACAACTTCTCTTCAACTTTCTTCAATATCTTCCGCGCGAATGCACAAACAACAACTCTAAACTTAAACAATTCAATTCTAATTCAATCAGAAGCTTCTCAAAAGTTAAAACCATTGATTTATAACAATTTTATCTAACAAATTCTTATCAAAACATCTTTCTTTATTTCTTTAAACTCTTTTAACAACTCTTCTTCAACTCTTCTTCAATATTTTCCGCACGAATGCACTTTTTGTCGATTGAAAGTGTAAACGATGTGTATCTTACTCTTTTTTCGAGTTTTCTTTTCCAAAAAAAAAAACTCCACTCAATTGAACATTTAGACACCGTAGTCTCTTCTTTTTTTCCATCTATAAAAAACCAATAGTTGGTTTTGGGTTGGAGAATTCTTGAAGCGAGAAAAGTTTCAGGCACATTCAGCAAGGGAAATGCAATAGGCGTGTGAAATTCTTCTCAAATTTTCTTCTCGATTTCTTCCCATTTTGACATCAACACACCATTTTGGAGTCTTGAAGAGCTTGAAAAGCTTTTTGAAGAGCACAGAAAGCTTTTAGAGAGCTTGAAAAGCTTCTAAAGAGCACAGAAAGCTTTGGGAAAGTCAATAGTATCGAAAAGGAATTCTTAAGTTAGTCAATTGTAATTGAAATTGTAATCAAAAGTTAATAAAACAGAAAGAATTGTAGACAGTTAACCAGACAGTTAATCAACTTAACCCCCTCTGGAGCGAGGGCAGCCAGGTGCCTTGTGGTGTAATGGTTAGCACGTTTGGCTGGGAAGTGAAAGGTCGCGGGTTCGAGCCCGGGCTCGGCTTTTTGCCCTAGTTCCAACTAAAAAGTTAATCAGTAATCAATTTATAGAAATACTGAAGCTAAATAGACTCTTGGCAAGTTCATTTGCTTGTCAGTAAGCTAATTTTGTAACTAATCAAGTCTAGTCTTGAAGAAAGGTTCTGACTTGAAGAAAGACTTGAAGAAATTAACTTGCCAAGAGTCTATTTAGCTCGTCAGTAAGCTAATTTTATAATTAATCAAGTCTAGTCTTGAAGAAAGGTTCTTGATAATATAGCTTTAAATCTACTTATTCTAAATCCTCTTCTAGATCTCATCAATAAACTTAATGATGAAAATCTTGATTTAAAAGATCTCCATGTTATTTTCAGGAACTCAAATCCTCAAGTCCACTTGTTTACTCACCACTTTTCCTATCAGCTAACCACTTGAGAAGAAGAAGTTTGATGGTTTTCCACAAACTTTTGCTTCTTTCTTCTTCTTTCACTTGTTCCCCTTAACAAACCACTTCATCAAGTAGATAACGATTGGGGGAAAAAGAGAGAAAAGAGAGAAAAGAGGTGCGAAAACAAGACACCACATCTCCCCTATCGAGTTTGCCAAGAAAATTGGAGTCTCCTTCAAACTCTGGTACCAATCAGTGTCAAGAAAAGCTCGGATTACAAGCGCCTGCAATAGATGAACTATTTGTTTTCATCTCTAGCCGAGTGGACGTATTTAAAAGAATTGGGGAAAATGTGCTATTGCATCTAGCTATTATAACAACAGAAAAGAGGAATTGGCTTAATTGGCTGCTTAAAATTGGCTAACTAGTTAAGCTGGATTGCTTTACTGGTTTTATAGATATCATTTTTTCTGTTTCTTTCAATACAGATCAAATCTCTTTTGTCATTTTGTGCATTTGACCCACGGGAATTCGCGTGTTGACCATAAATTGATCGAAATTTGACTCTCTTACGCATAATTCTCGAGAATCAGAAAGAAATGGAAAGAGAAATTCTCTAGAGAATTGAAGAAAAAGAGGAAATGGATAGGATTTGTGGGTGATAGTAGAAAATCCAGAGAATTTTCCTTTTAGAAAAGGCTTGAGAAAAGAGAAAAGGCTTAAGAAAAGAACTTGACAACTCGCCCTTTTCTCCAATTTATCGCATTTCTTTAGACTTTTTCTTTTCTCAAGAAAATGCAAACATTTGCATATTTCGCGCATTGAGAGGCTAGGATAACGATTGAAGAATCAAGCCGGGATTCTAAATTGAACATTTTGAAAGAATTGAAATAGTTTATGAAAGGAAATGATTAGAAAAAGAATGGTTATAAGGTCAAGAAGGTTCAGAATATTAGTCCCAATCTATAATCAATCTAGTTGCACTTGAACAAGAGTTGTCCATTCTTTCTATTCCATATCGATTAAATTTGGTTCCCTATCTCTTTAAATTTGATTCCCTATCTCTCTAAGTTTGGTTCCCTATCTTATAGGGATCCTTAGTCATCCATATAATCGTTTTTAGCCTGATCTGTTTAGCCCAAAATTTGTAAGCAAATTAGGACCAAGGCCAGACTCTGTCCATAACCCTAGCCCTGTAGTGCCGGCCTTTTCACAACTATTCTTTTGAGTCTTGTAAACTTTTAAAGAATTAGATGTTATCAAGTGTTCCATTTCTTTACTCATTCACACAACATGACTCTCAGAATCTTTCTTTTCTTGAACTCTTTCTTTCCAAATCCATGAATGCAAAGATTAATGATTCCCCTCATAACCCTCTCTTCTTTCAATGAATTCAAAGAGGAAAGCGACGAAATTACAACCCAATAGAGACTCATTATTCTGGAGAAGATGAAGAAAAATGGGCTACCCTTTTTATTATAAATGACTTTTGAGGGAAATTGATTGTGGGAAGATAGCTGGGTCTGGAAATGGTCTAGAGAAAACATCATAATTCAACTTTCGAGAGAGAATTAGATGGAAAACTTTGTTGTCAGAAGTTGAAGTGTTTGGCTATTGATAGCAGGCTATTGCAAGCTGGTTATTGCAAGCTGGTTATTGCAAGCTGGCTATTGATAGCTGGCTATTGCAAGCTGGTTATTGCAAGCTGGTTATTGCAAGCTGGTTATTGCAAGCTGGCTATTGATAGCTGGCTATTGCAAGCTGGTTATTGCAAGCTGGTTATTGCAAGCTGGTTATTGCAAACTGACTATTGCAAGCTGGCCATTGCAAGCTGGCTATTGCAAGCTGGCTATTGATAGCTGGCCATTGCAAGCTGGTTATAGCAAGCTGCCTATTGATCGCTAAATCCATCTTGTACCAGTTCAGCAAAAGATCAAGATAAAGATAGGATTAACTTGTCTAAAACTTTACTCTAATATCAGTAATTCTATCAGTTTGTTGCCAGTTTGTGCCAGCTTCAACAACAAAATCCAGCACTTGGGTTTGGTGGCTTTTTAGCTAAGTTTTATCTGGCACCAGTTGATCTACAATCTAAAAACTAGTTGGTAAGCTTGATTTAATGATGGTGGTACCTTGGTACTGTTAGCTATCTAAAAAATGATATCTTAACAATACTACAGGAACGTATTATCTATCTAAAACCTACTTTCCACAATCTAAAACCTAAGCTATCTAAAACCAATAGTACTTTCCACAAAAATCTCTACCAAACTCTCCAGATCCTTTGCTAAACCTCTTCCCATTCACCACTCGCTAATTGACTCATCATTTTCAAGATCTCAATCCATTCAATTCTATTAGCATAACAGTAGATCAATTAGCAGATGGAGAAATCTCTTTCTTATGGTAAATTAAGGGAAAGACAGTGTTGTTGACTCTTATAGGGAAAGTGATACTGCTTCCATCTGTTCTTCTCCCCTCACAGGCTGTCCTTGCTCCCAGCTTATCTCCAGCTTCTTCTTCCCATTCCATTGGTAACATTAGACATTCTCCTACTCCTAAATGATGACCATTATGTGCTTGACTAGAAAAATAGCAAAATGGTTAGCTTAGTGGGGGGTTCTGGAGCTATTCATTGAGTCTATTGAACTCGGATTTTAATTGGTTTAAACTTTTAGAGAAATTTTAGAGAAAAAAGAGAAACTTAGTCTATTTTGGAGAGAAGATTAGCTTTTAAATGATGTAAAATAAACATCTAATTCAGTAAAAACTACAAATTTCTAGACTAGACTGGAAGTTGCAATTACTCTTTGTTTATCCAAACTCTTCATTCATTCAATCCTTTCCATTTTCTTTCACTCATGCATGACAACGATATTGTAACAGTGATTTGTTGGCATTTTCTCTCTCTCTCTTTTTATTCTTTACTTTGTTAGGGCCAGCTGTGAGCAAAGGGAGGACAGGTGGAAGTGAAACGCGTACTGACCTCTCCTTTTCCACCCACTTGTGATAGGGTTGAGAGATTAGAACGAATAAATCGACAAAAAGAGTCTCTAAACTGTTTCTGAAGTGGTTGATAGCTGAAGGAGCGTTAAGTGCTGAAAAAATTGACTGAAAGAGCTCAACTTTCGATGGACTGTCGATAAATAGTCAAAGAACTGTCGTATTGATATTTTCACAGAACTTTACACAGAACAAAAGAAAATCATAAGAATGATAAGTTTAAGAAGATTAACGATAGATCATTTGTGAATGGAAATACTGATTGGGAGCTTGATTTTGAATAGTTAAACTTGATTTTGAAAGGCTGTAAAAGGCTGTAAAAGGCTCTGAAAGGCTAACTGAATCTAACTACTTTCAAAGTCAAAATTTTCAAAAAACTTTCAATCTTGAAATATCAACTTGTTTATTGTTTATTTTAAAAGAGATTTTTGAACTTTTTTTGAACTTGAATTTCCTTAAAGAAAGCCGAGATTACGGAAATTCTTAACACAAAAAAAGCGGAAGACTTTGTTGCCTTTCACACTTTCACTCTTGTTATCCCTTCTCTATCACAAACATTCGATTTGCATGTTCACTCTTTTCTCAAAGAAACAATGACAAGAAACAATGAAAATCAAAGAGCTTACTGAAAGAACTGAAGAAAGAAAAACGACAAAAACTTGGCCTTTTCGTTAAAATCTTTCTCTTTTCTCTAAATCTGCGGAAGTGCGTGGAATGCAATTGAGTTCTCACAACTGAAAAGGGATTTGTTGTCAAGATTAAAATGGATTTAACGTTTAAATTCTAATGTTGAATCCATTAAAATGGATTTAATGGATTCAACATTAGAATTTAAATGTAATCAATATTAAAATAGATTTAAAGCACTTAAAGCAAAAAAAATTGCAATTTTAATAGTTAAATAGCAGTAATTATTCAATGAAATGTAACTTTGACAGCTTTTTTATTAATTATGATCAACAAAAAACGCGCATTTTGTTCGCGTCCGTTGGGGAGGCGGGGAACACATTCAAATGACTAAAACCACTCTAACCCATGTTAAACCCCGCGTCTTTTTAAAAATGGACCTAACAGTCTGATTCCCCATAGCTGAAAACCCCTGGGAGCAAAATTTCGCGCGGAAAAGCTGAATACTTTGCCTTTTAATCGATGGAGCAAACGTAATTAGGGAGTGTCGCGTTTGCGCACAGACAGGTAGGCAGACAGCCAGACAGACAGACAGGTAGGCAGACAGACAGACAGACAGACAGACAGACAGACAGACAGACAGGTAGGCAGACAGACAGACAGACAGACAGACAGACAGACAGACAGACAGAGCAGGCAGGCAGACGCCTCTTCTGTTTTATATATAGTAGATTTTTCTACTCTGAAACAGTAGCCCAGATCAAATCAAATCTAAACTTTTAACTCTACCTTCCTAACCAAAGCTCAAGTCAAACCCAAACCTTATTAGTCATCACTTCCAGAACGTGAACTCTTTACTACCCTCTCCTTCTCATTTCCACCTTCATTTTCATTCCTTTTTCCAAATTCTACTTGTCTCTCATGGCCTAATTGTCGAGTGGATGTGAATTCCATCACTGATTCCGACTTTTTCTTCCTTATTCCCTCTTCTCATATACCCGTTCTCATTTTCTTCTTTCTTTGCCAGAGTCCTCATTAATTATTCTTTCTAAAGATGGAACTCTAGAAGCAAAATAAGAAAGGGATTAGTCTTTTTAAAGTAACATCAATAGCAAAAGATCTAGTATTTAGTGTATCAATTATCTTGAATGTTGAATTTGTTTTTAAAGTCTCATTGTCACGTATGAACTAAGTCACTAAGCCTTAATTAGCCTTAATTAGCTAAGCATTAATTAGTCTTCAACAATTATCTAAATTGTCAATATTATCAGTCAGAACTAAATGTATTTTTTTAAAGCTTTTCATTGACACTTAGGTGATTGTCAATAAGATGTGCCACTTGACATATCGGAAAAGATTTCGTAAATCTTTCACGGATCATTACTCACTCACTCATTCTATTGGACAGTTTTCCTAGCAATCGATTTCTCAAAGTCTATCCTTTCTTTTCCTCATCTATCCCCCAAAAAAAAGCGTTTTGTGAAGTCTCTGTGTTTAACCAACAAGTTTTTGTCCGATGAAAAGAGTGAAAGAAAAGAGAAAATGGGGGAAAAAAGGGCCCAGAAAAGTAAATATTCTGTGGATAGATTCGGCAACACTCGCTCGGTTTCCTTTCCCCACAATCCGTTCAGATTTCGGGATATTTGTTGGAAAGAGAAATCTCATCAACAAAGGGATTCAAAAATGGGAATTATATTTATATAGTCTTATAAATAAAAGTATTTAGATTGTATTGAAAAGTTTAGAAGAATTAGAAAGAGTTAACCATTCATTCCAAGTTTCTAATCTTCTCATTTTCAGATGATGTCAAGGATTCGAAAGAGGAATCGGATAATAAGTTGAGGGTGAGTTCTTTAAATTGAAATGTAATTGAAAGCCATAAAATAAGTGAATACTGTTTAAAATTAACAATAAGGTCCTAAGAAGTGAAAGTAAAATTGGTGAAATTTAACGAGAATTTATCAAATTTACATAGAAACAAGCTAGATGTAAAAAGCGAAATTTTGAAGTGGTAAAAGATCTGTTGAAGTTACCAAGTGAAATGGATGAATAAAGGAAACAAGTAAATACTAGAGTGTTTGATTTATTAGCTCATTTTCTTAGCTAAACGATCGTAGGTAGCTAAACTATCGTAATCTTTGAACATTCTTCTTTTCATTAAATGAGCTTGGATTCATTAGCTTGTGTGATTTATTAGTTCATTAAAGCTCATTTATTAGCTCATTTTGTTAAAAGGTAGCTAAACTATCGTAATCTTTAATGGCTATCGTAATCTTTAATGGAAATATCGTAATCTTTATCTAAACTATCGTAATCTTTGAACATTCTTCTTTTCATTAAATGAGCTTGGATTCATGAGCTTGGATTCATGAGCTTGGATTCATGAGCTTGGATTCATGAGCTTGGATTCATGAGCTTGGATTCATGAGCTTTGTGATTTATTAGCGCTCATTTTCTTAAAAGGTAGCTAAACTATCGTAATCTTTATCTAAACTATCGTAAACTTTAATGAAACTATCGTAATCTTTAGCCAAACTATCATAATCTTTATCTAAACTATCATAATCTTAATCTAAACTATCGTAATCTTTGAACATTCTTCTTTTCATTAAATGAGCTTGGATTCATATGACTTTAACTGAAAATTTACAGATCAATTTCTAAAAGAAAAACGTTCTTGTAACTCTGAAATTTACAAATTTACATATTGATTTTTCATTGAAACTTAAAAGCACACTGAACTTGTGAATTTACAAATTTATATATTTACTGCCACTTCAACAAAAACAAATTCCTTTCTGCTTACTACAATTTGCTTTTTGAAAAACATTAGGACAATATTTTAAAATTAAGAATCTATTTTTAGAAAGATTTCTTCAAATTACATTCATTATGTTGTTTAAATCAAAATTTTCATTGTTTTGCAGTTAAATAGAAAATGATTCAAAGAATTTTGTTCACAAAGTCACATAAAAACATTCTTGTGACTCTGGTCGATGCAAATTTGCATATTCACATCTACCTGTGATTGTATTAGCTTGGTAAATATGAAAGGTTATTTTTTACAAAAAATATTGCCCTGTCGTTACGAAGAACATTCGCTGTCTAGGATTTTTCTCAATAATATGTCTAAATGTGCTTATGTTTTTTTTTGCAAAAACTTTTTTGTTTTGAATAATATTTGTACTGTTTCAGCTCGACAAAGATGGATGACAAAAAATTTAAAATCAGGGCTGCCATATTCTTTGAATTCAAGTTAAACAAGAAAGCTACGGAATGCCATCAGAATATTTGTTCCGTCTTTGGAGAAGCTGCTCTTAATTACAAACAATGTTGTGTTTGGTACGATCGCTTCAAAACGGAAAACAATTCATTGGAAGATGCACCACATGGAAAGCCACCGATTACTTTGGACGATCCGCTGTTACTGAATGAGGTCGACTTGGATCCATCGCAAACGTGTAGAAGATTAGCAGAATTCAAGTTAAACAAGAAAGCTACGGAATGCCATCAGAACATTTGTACTGTTTTTGAAGAAGTTGCTCTTACTTACAAACAATGTTGTGTTTGGTACGATCGCTTCAAAACGGAAAACAATTCATTGGAAGATGCACCACATGGAAAGCCACCGATTACTTTGGACGATCAGCTGGTACTGAACGAGATCGACTTGGATTTATCGCAAAAGTGTAGAAAATTAGCAGAAAAGTTCGGATGCACTCATGTTACCATTGAAAATCATTTACACGTTCTTGGGAAATCATATCGAAGCGGGAAATGGCTCCCCCAAAATTAAAAATGATCAAAAACCTTTCATATTTACCAAGCTAATAAATGAATCGATCTAAAGTCTGAAGAAACGATTTTATAAATCTTTTAGAGAAAGTGAAGCTTTTGAGGATATATCGAATTTAATAAAATTTCATTGAAACTTTTAGGTTGATGGATCACAATTTGTTGTCAGAGCTCGCTCGAAATTTGTGGTCTCTTGTGTATTCGCTGCAGAAGAAATCTCAGACTTGGCTGATATTCAATGGAAAACCGGCAAAGGGAAATCAATCGACGGAGAAACAAGCAGCAGGTTTAATTTTTAAATTTTTAAGCAATCAATCAATCAACAAAAAACCCACATTAGTGGCCATGTTAGTCGTCGACTCCGCGTCCGGCGTGGCGGCCTGCGTTTCCTGTATCCGAGGTTGAACAATGAGAGATTTCTCTCTTAGAAGTCCTCTGATTCGTTCTCATTTTTCTCCTTTTCGTTCCTAAACACTAGTCCTTCACACTTGTGTTTTAGTATCTTCTGACATTGGGAACTTTTGTTGTACTGTCTATTGGGAACTGTTGAGATTTTTTCTTTCGACAGTATTCTGTTACACTTTTTTCTAACGATTTGATTTGGTTTGACATTAAACAACAACAATTTGAGTCCTTTGTTAACTATGGCGTAATTCTAAAGTTAACTATGACGAAATAGACTGGAAAGAACAAGTTCCTAGGAGCCTAATTGATCCATACAAAAATTCTTCATCAATAGTAAGCTCTGCAAGCTTTAACTCTTGAATTCTTGTCTAGAACTTCTAGTTACAGCCATGGTTAGAAAAGGTTGAACTTACAATTAATAGATAAGCTATATTTGGCTCAGGATCAGGCTCAGGCTCAAGATCAGGCTTAGGCTCAGGCTCTGGCTCAGGCTCAGGCTTTGGCTCAGGCTTTGGCTCAGGCTTAGGCTCAGGCCTTTGGCTTAGGCTTTGGCTCAGGCTTAGGCTTAGGCTTTGGCTCAGGCTTTGGCTCAGGCTTTGGCTCAGGCCTTTGGCTTAGGCTTAGGCCTTTGGCTTAGGCTTAGGCTCAGATCTGACAGGCTTCTGTTAAGCAATTGGAACCTTTTGGAGTTAAGATTTACTGTACTATTGACGTAAGTATAAGATGTTATCCCTAGATGGTAGTACTGTAATTGTTATAATTAAACCATAAACTGTAGACTAGACGATAAACTGCAAGGAGTCAATGTCAGACCTTCACTTCTATTTCTCTCTTGCTCGGTGCCTAACTAGGGGCATTTTTCCACTCTAACCCCTTAGCTTTTCCAAAAAGCTCTTCTTTTCAAAACTTCTTAAATCTTCTTCTTAAATTTCCATTTCTCATTTTCACAGTATCGTGGCTTCTTTTCTAAGCTCATCTTCCTGCGCATTTTACAAACGCTTCCGTCGCTTCCGAATAATCAACAAATTTTGTCCCGTAGTTGCCTCTAGATAAAATAAATTATTAATGTTTATTATCTATTTTAGTATCTTCACAATTGCTCTCGTCGAGCATCGAACTGGACACAAAAAGCGAAATCTACATTTCTCAATGATCGAACAAAAAGATGAGGGTGATTATGTTTGCGAGGCGAAAGATTTAGATGGAAAAATTCATCAAAGAAAGATCAACATCAAAGTGTTAGGTGAGTTGAAAGAATAGCTGAATATATGAATAGCATTTTATGATAATATAAAGTAGTTCTAAGTAATCTAAGCTGAACTTTTGTTTTAAATTTATCTACCGTAAATACTGTAATAGTACTCCCTCGCCCTCGTACAGTCGCGTAGTCGCAAAAGTTTTTTAGTATTTCATTTTTTGCAAAGCACCCGTAATTTCAAAAAATGCGTCTTTGGTATCAAAAAATAGCTGAAATTCAGGGCTATTTTTTGATACCTAAGCGCATATTGTAGCATAAACCAGTGTCGAGAAAAACTCGTTCAAAGCTAGACTACGCAACACTCCGCATCGTCATTATCGGGGTGGGGTACTATTACAGTATTTGCGTTAGGTACAGTTGTGAGTCCTAAAAAGCGACTAACTTATTGTATTATATCTGGGAAAAATACTAGTAGCAATTGCTGGTTTAATTGTTTTATTATCACTCATTATTTTATTTGTTTTAATGTTTTAATGTTTTATTATCATTCAAATCTGTTGTTTAGCTCCGGTTGATTGGACGGATACGTCAAAGGTTGTTGGTGGATTGGTGGGAGAGCCGTTGACTATCGACTGCTCAGCTAGAGGTTCCCCACCTCCATCTATTCAAATCACTGATGAAAATGGAGAACCACTGAATGGTTTGTCTTAAAAATAATAATAATAATAGCAAAAGTTTTAGAAGAACTCTTTACAATTGCTGGAAACGACGTGACTGTGCGATCGTTGAGTAAAGATTTTGATGGAAAAGTTGTCAGCTGTGTGGCTTTACAGGTATTGTGGATTTTTGTGGATGTTTAGTGATTATCTAACAAAGTTTGTTCAATTAGCAGTTACCTACAATTTTCTAGATCTTGAACGATTTGGACACAACAAGCACAGAATTGCGAGATGTTACCATCGATGTTTGGCGTGAGTTTTTAAAATCTTTAATATTTTTAAACTGTTTACAAGTTTTAAATCAATAGTTCACTTTAAGTGACTTTAAGTGACTTTAAGTTATCTGTAATTAACTTTAAGTGACTTTAAGTGACTTTAAGTGACTTTAAGTTAGCTTTAAGTTAGCTTTAAGTTAACTTTAAATTACTTTAAGTGACTTTAAATGACTTTAAGTTAACTTTAAATTACTTTAAGTTAACTTTAATTTACTTTAAATGACTTTAAGTGACTTTAAGTTATCTGTAATTAACTTTAAGTTATCTGTAATTAACTTTAAGTGACTTTAAGTGACTTTAAGTTATCTGTAATTAACTTTAAGTTATCTGTAATTAACTTTAAGTGACTTTAAGTGACTTTAAGTTATCTGTAATTAATTTTAAGTTAGCTTTAAGTTACTTTAAATGACTTTAAGTGACTTTAAGTTATCTGTAAGTAACTTTAAGTTAGCTTTAAGTTACTTTAAACAATCACTTTTAGATGTACCTGAATTTCCGGCGGAGAAAATCGATCGATACGCCATTACGGGACGACAAGTAACCAAATTCATCAGTTAGATTTAAAAAAACGATTAAAACACGTTTTTTGATATTCATTTTGTCTATTTTTCTATAAAAATTGTAGAGAATCTAAATTCTAACTTTTCAGGCAATCCTCCCATGCAATGTAACTTCATCAAATCCTCCACCGGCTCATTTCTTCTTTTTTAAAGATGGAAAAGAGTTAAAAGATTCTGATGAGAAATATGATCTTGTTGTTGATGTCAAGGAGCATTCAGCTGCATTGATTGTAAGAAATTTCTTTCTTTAAACTTAAACTTTACTTATCTAGATCAAATCGGTGACTATCGATGACTTGGGAGAGTATCGATGTGATGTAAACAATCGAAAAGCCACCGGCAGTCTTGAAATCAATTTGAAGGAAGCAAGTGAGCACTTTAAACAATTGTGGTAAAACTTATGAACGATTAATTGTGTTAGATTGTAATTTGGTTAGACAAAATAAGACCTAGTTTTCTTCCTGTTGAGCTCTAGTAAAAATGAACTCTTTGGCATACTTGATTGTTTCTTAGCTTACATTTGTATTGAGAAAGCAAGTGTGATAACGTGCACAAAAAGTATTAACTTGACTTACAAGGGAATGCAAAAACGGATTTTACCATCCTGTTCAATAGTCGATAGACGTTTTGTCTTGATTTTCAGATCAAAATCCATTGTTAGTTAACTCTAAACAATTCCAAGACTTGTAAATAATCAAAAACTAATATCATTGATTTTTAGGTCCACCAGATGTTGTAAAAGCGACTGTTGAGAAAACAAGTCGACACTCAATTTTATGGAAAATCGATTGTGATGAAGACGAGGGAGAGCTAGCTGTTCAACGAATTGATATCGATTTTGTTAGGAGATCACTTTTAAAGAAAGGTGATCCAGATAATGAGGTTTGAATCTTTAACTACTTTTTAACTTTAACCTAATGAGAACCTAATCGAAACCTATCGGAATTTCTTATTTAGTCTGATGAATACGATGATCGAGGAGATGAACACATCTGGAAAACCCAAGCATTGAATATTAGAAAGAATAAAAGTGAGTCAAAGAAAGTCTAGTTGAGTTTTTCTAATAGGCAATCTTTTTTCTCAAATAATTTCTTTCAGGTGATAACGATTTGTATGAGATTTCGGGACTCCGATCTGACACTGATTATAGCTTTCGATTTCGAGCAGTCAGCGAAGCGGGAGAGGTTTGAACTAAAGAAAAATATACTCTATTAGACTAAAGAGAAAGAAAGAAAGAAAGAAAGAAAGAAAGAGAAAGACTTTCTTTTGTACTAAAGAAAAATATATTTAATCCAAAACTTTTATTTTACTAATAGAACTTGAATCGTTGACTAACTCTTGACCGTTTGACTCGCCTTGTTCCTTGAAAACTTGATCATAAAGATCTTAAAGCTCTTAAAGATCAAATTTATAAAGATTTGGTCAAGTTAGATAGCTAAAGCTCTAAAACAAGCTCTAAAACAAGCTCTAAAACAAGCTCTAAAACAAGCTTTAGCCATCTAACTTGACCAAATCTTTATAAATTTGATCTTTAGAGCTTTAAGATCTTCATGATCAAGATCTTTAAGAACTTTAAGATCTAAATCTTCTAATTCTAAGTCGGATTTATTTAGAACTGACACTAGAAAGTAGACTATCGTAATCCAGCCTAAATAGCTATACAATCTGGATCAACTGTACAGATAACAGCTACTAATCAGACTACAGGATACGATAGTCATAAAAACCTTCCAAAACATTTCCATATAATAAAACAACTCAATTCTAGGGAGATCTTGTTGAAGTCGAGGCTCGAACGGAGGGAGATGAGATGTTAGCCGCTGCTTCTTCATCCCTTTCCATCTTTCTCATTCCAATCTTTCTCATTTTTCAATTCTTATAATATTTCTCAATTCAATTCTTCAACCAAAAACACTTTTTACAAACACCGGTGATATTTTTTCACACTTATAGTCTCCAAAAAAAGTTGAATAGTCTTTTTTTCTTCAAAAATTGTGCACAACAGGTTGTGATTGTTTTTTTTGTAATAGAATTAATTGATTTGGCTCTTTCCCTGAATTGTGGTCTTTCCTGAAGCTTCTTGGTCTTTTGTCAAAAAAAATCCGTTTCGTGGTCTTTTGCAATTTTTTGTTTTTAACAAAAAGTCTTCTGAAATTGTTTTAACGTTTTCGTTTTGACAAAAGACCACGAAACTTTTAAAAAACCACGGAACTTTTAAAAGACCACGAAACTTTTAAAAGACTACGAAACTTTTAAAAAACCACGGAACTTTTAAAGGACCGCGAAACTTTTAAAAGACCACGGAACTTTTAAAAGACCACGATTCAGGAAAAGAGCCATCGATTTTCTTCAGTCTAGCAATATCCCAATCTCAGTCTAATTTTTCTCAGTTTACCTATTTCATTTTATCTCTTTTCATTGGGTAAAGCTTGATTTTCAGTGACTGATCCAGCTGAACTACGGTCCCATGCTTTATTCATGCAAATTTATGTTAGTATTTAAATTTTGAGTTACTGAATTCATTATCAAGTGCTGATTGTCTTGGTAAGCTGTATTGCAGTGGACAAATTTCACCTGTACTTTTTGCTCTTAGCAATGCACGCTTTCTGGCTTTGTCATTCGTCATAGATTCGTCATTTTCACATAAACTCATATGGAAAACAAGAGAAACTATTCGTTCACGTGTGCCAAAAGCTTGCGTTCATGAGAACACAAAGTACAAAATTTGATTCAGCCAATCAACAACTACAACTTCCACTTTTAATAACTTTATTTAATAGATTTTTCAATTTTATTATTAAGCCAACTTTTTCTATTCGATTTTCTTTTTTAATTGAGGTGCTTTCTCTTTAAAAACACTGCTAAAATGAGCAATTCACTATTAGAATTTGAATATTTTCATATTCAAGCTTGCATTTTCCCATTCTTGAAATAATCTTTTTGCCATATCAAAATAATCTTTTCTTTTTCTTCAATTTATTATGCTCATTACCAAAAATTATTTAGTATTTGATGATTTCCTATGGGGGTGGAACAAATGCGACCTTTTCTTTTGCGCACCTGGACATTTGCGCACCTTATTTTGCTGAAAAAGGCCTTAGGAAAGGTCGTAGAGCTTCAAAAATTTATTCATAAAAGGGAATCGTATGCATAGATTCCAAATTTCGACAAATCAGACCTCGCTGACACGTCAAATTTGGGCTAAAAGGCAAAAACTACGCAACTTAACGCTTTTCCGCAGTTTTTGCCTTTTAGCCCAAATTTGACGTGTCAGCGAGGTCTGATTTGTCGAAATTTGGAATCTATGCATACGATTCCCTTCTATGAATAAATTTTTGAAGCTCTACGACCTTTCCTAAGGCCTTTTTCAGCAAAATAAGGTGCGCAAATGTCCAGGTGCGCAAAAAAAAAGTCGCATTTGTCCCACCCCCATTTCCTATTGAAAACTCTTTAGTATTAGTGAATTTTCTTACTTTATTATGTTCATCAAATAGTATACCAAATTAACTCACAACTCAAATTTTGTTCTTTATGAATTTCAATATATTTTCTTTTATTCTCTTAACCAGTTAGAGAAATACGAAAAAAACACAAAAGCCTATGTGAATCAAGCCTGATTTTACCTAGCCCTGACCTCACCCTGGCCTAGTTCTAGGCCTAGTCCTAATCCTAGTTCTAAGCCTAGCACTGACCTAGCCCTGGTCTAGCCCTGGTCTTGACCTAGGCCTAGCCCTGACCTAGCCCTGGCCCAGCCCTGGTCTTGACCTAGGCCTAGCCCTGACCTAGCCCTGACCTAGCCCTGGTCTTGACCTAGGCCTTGGCTATATCAAAACTATATAAAAATCCTTAGTCTATCAAAACAAGAACTAGCTTCTGATCGGACTCTTATCCTATCTAGCCTTGTCTGACTTAGATCACAGGCTCTAGGGCCTGTTTGGAACATTCCTGATGGACCAAAAACAACGAAAGTCTAATAAATTTGTCAAAAACGTGATGCTAGAAGGTTCTGTTTGAACAGTTAATATAAAACTCGATACTATCCTGTTATACCCACCGAAAATTTACATTTCAAAAAAATTTGCAAAAAGACAAATCATTCACATCCAACCACTGTTATTCTTTTCTATTCCTTGCGAGATCGATTCCCTTTTCTATTCCTTGGGAGATCGATTCCCTTTTCTATTCCTTGGGAGATCGATTTCCTTTTCTATTCCTTGGGAGATCGATTTCCTTTTCTATTCCCGTCTACCAATGTTCAAACTACCAACAGACAAAGAAATCAATTTTTTTTCAACAGCTGTGCTCCACAAAACAATAAATTGCTCACTTGACTATGAAATGAGATTATCAAAAGGCTCAGGCTCAGGCTGGTGTGATACAAATATTTTTTTAAATCTTTTTTGGGTATAACAAGATTGATGCAAGGATAAAAGCTGGCTGGGTATAACAGGATAGTACTCAAAGAGAGTACTCAAAGAGAGTACTCAAAGAGAGTACTCAAAGAGTATATAGTACTCAAAGATTATTTTGTGATGATAGAAATATATCAGTATGCTTTCAGTACAGTTTTCTTTGCATAGAAAGTTTTCCTTATATATTTTTCTTTATTCTCTTAACGCACCAGTCAGAGAAATACCAGAAAAGAAAAGATTCTTCAGAAAAAAATCCTTCAGAAAGACATCGAAATTTGAAGAAATGAGGATCGAAACGAGGCAATAAATTACAAAAAGTGTTGAGCAATTTTCGTGAAATGATCAAAAGATCGAAGATTTTTACGAAATTCTTTCAAAGCTTGTGTACTGAACAAGTTTAAGCTTAATATCCAGGTGCTGTCCTTGGTGGAGAACAGTGAGTACACGTTCCTGTCTCTCCACGAAGACCACGTGGACCGGACTTTCCGGGTTTGCCGGCCTTTCCTGGTGTTCCATCTTTTCCCGGGTCTCCTGGTTCTCCTCCTGGTCCAGGAATACCGGGAATACCGGGCAATCCTTCTGGTCCAACTGGTCCTGCAGAGCCTGGGGGTCCTAAAGATATTATCGTTGTAGCCTGAAGGTCCCGAAGATTTAATCATTGTATGGTATTTGACCACCAACGCCTAACGGTGGGTTTTTCTAGCTGGATTTTTTGCCACGACTCATAGTGATCGTGGCGCACTCGAGAGCCCTCTCGTCTACAGCCCACATAGCCCGGATTCGATCCCCCGTAGAATCACTGGGCCTCTCTTTTTCATTTTATTTTTGAAATAAGACAATTACATTATTACATTTTGAGACTTTAAAAATTTAATGGCGCAAAGACGGCTGAGAAAAGCCTGTACAAGACAGACACTACTTACTAGTAGAGAAAGCTAGAACAAGCTCAAAAAGCTTAACTATTTATCGTGGTTATCAAATTCTACCTGGCTGTCCAGGTTCTCCAGGTGGTCCTTCTCTCTCGATCACTTGTCCAATAGGTCCAGGCATTCCGGGAAGACCACGTGGTCCAGGCTTTCCTCTAGGTCCTTGTGGACCAGGTGGTCCATCAGCTCCTCCTTCTCCAATATCTCCATCAGCTCCAGGTTCTCCAGGGAAACCAGACTCTCCCTAAATCAGTTTTAGATAATCGATAATAGATGTTAATGTTATTAACCTTTAATCCAGCGGGTCCAGGTGGTCCGGGAGGTCCATCGGAACACGTGAAACAGTAATCGTAGCCTTGCAATGTTTGATCATCAGGAGAATCACTTCCATGGTTTCCATCTTCGCCTAATAATTGAATAAAAAGCAATAGAGCTAAAGTCCACAAAATCCCAACCAGGAGCTCCATCTTGTCCATCTTTTCCATCTCTACCTGGAGCACCAGTTGCTCCGGGAGCTCCAACTCCACAACCACATCCTAAATTTTCAATTTTTCAAAATATTCATTGATAAGCTTCAGCATTAAACGAAAAAAGAAAGAAAGGATAGTTGTGAAACTTTTAAAATAAAAGAAATTACATTAGAAGTTACAATAGAAAGTTAAATTCACAACTCAGTTAAATTTTTAGCTTTTTCACAAGTATTCAAAGTTTAATGAGCTGATGCAAGAAAGTTTGTTAATGAAAGAAATATTTTGAATGATGAAGAGATTCTTGTATCTATTCCTCGTATTTCAATGATATCTTTAACTTATTAGCATCTTAACTAAGCCAGTTGTGAGCACGCAACAGACTTGCTCTCTTCAGAATCTCTACCTGGAGCACCAGTTGCTCCGGGAGCTCCCATCTTAGCTTTCTGTTGTAACTGATAATGTAATTTCTCTAAGTTTCACAAAGTATCCAAGGTTTAATGAGCTGATGCGGGAAAGTTTGTTAATGAAAGAAATAGTTTTGAATGATGAAGAGATTCTTGTACCGATTCCTGGTATTTCAATGATATCTCCAATTGGTGGACTCATTGGATAAGCATCCTTACCCTCTTCTGGATAAGATTCTTCTGCTAGAGAAATTATTATTTGGTTATTTAAAACAGAGAATCTTTACGGTTAACGGTGGTTATCGGTGGAGGTCAATTTTTTTGAGCCAACTTGCAGCTGATTTCTAAGTCCCTTAAACTTGTCAGATCAAAAATTTCTAGTAAGATTTAGATAGCTTAGAATGTCAGCTTTTCGAAAGTATTTGTTTTATTAGAAATGATTAACATAAATTTATATATAATCGGGCTGCAAGTTGATTAAAAATTTGACCTTCGGTTTAAAACAAAAAGAAAGCGAAATAAAGACACCCAAGAATAAAGCAATATACCGTATTTTCTCTAATAGTAATGCACCCAAAGCCTTGCCTAAATTCCTCGAAATCTCGAGAACCGCTTATCAGAATCTATCGATGTGGGGTCGGAAAATGTAGCTGACGATGTGATCTTGTGGGGGATTTGAGTGTTGAGCTTCTGGGAAAACTTCGAAACCGTCAAATAGGCATCAACTTGGCTCGGTGCGGTGTACTACTATTAGAGAGAATACGGTATGCAAAATTTCAGAAAAACCAGATAAAACTAGAGTTAGATCGCTGGTTTGATTTCTGGATTTGCTCAGAAACAGGTCTGGACTTAGATATTAGATACACTAAACCGTATTTTCTCTAATAATATTGCACCCTGAGCGTCGCCAAAATTGCGCGAAATCTCGAGAACCGCTTATCAGAATCTATCGATGTGGGGTCGGAAAATGTAGTTGACGATGAGATCTAGTGAAGGATTAGAGTGTTGAGCTTCTGTGAAAACTTTGGAAGCCGTAAAATAGTCATCAACTCGGCTCGGCCGGGTGTACTACTACTAGAGAATATACGGTATTCTAATCATTCAATAGTATAGTTTTTAAGAGCTTACCGTATTTTCTCTAATAGTAATGCACCCTGAGCGTCGCCTAAATTGCGCGAAATCTCGAGAACCGCTTATCAGAATCTATTGATGTGGGATCGGAAAATGTAGCTGACGATGAGATCTAGTGGGGGATTAGAGTGTTGAGCTTCTGCAAAAGCTCGAAAACCGTAAAATCGTCGCCAACTCGGGTGCACTACTATTAGAGAAAATACGGTAATCAAAATGTTTTTTTTTCTTTAAAAATTATTAATAGTTATTTTTAAATAGAAAAAGAAGTTAAATTAGGAAATTATTTTAAATTTTATAAAGATAATAGTAAATTTAGTTGTTCTTTATGAATAATTTGTTTTCTAAAAGGTAAACAATTTGGAAAATTGTCCTAATCTTTGTATGACCTCATTTGAATCGATTTTTGAATCAAATGAGATTAAAGTATAATAGTTTTAAGTACCCAGAACATACTCTAATAGAAAATAGAAAGCCACAAACCCCTTGTATCTCTACTAGTTTCTTCGTTGAATTCCTTTCGATAGTCACTAGCCGGAACTCTTGCTGAAAGATGCGAAAGCATTTTAGAAAGCATTTTAGTTCATTGAATTTAAGCATTGTGCTATTTTAGTTCAATGAAACGTGAAAGAGACAACATTTCAATGAATTTGATTCAACTCAATTCAAATTCTACAACTTTACCTTCAATTTTCAGTGTATTTCAGTGTATCTTTTCATTTTTAGACTGTAAGGCAGAGCAAAAGTTGGGGGTGGGACAAATGCGAGCTTTTTTTTGCGTCCCTGGACATTTGTGCACCTTTTTTTTGCTGGAAAAGGCCTTAGGCAAGGCCGTAGAGCTTCAAAAATGTTTTCATAGAAGGGAATCGTATACGTAGATTCAGAATTTTGACAAATCAAACCTCGCTGACACGCCAACTTAGGGCTAAAAGGCAAAAACTGCGAAAAAGCGTTAAGTTGCGTAGTTTTTGCCTTTTAGCCCAAATTTGACTTGTCAGCGAGCTCTGATTTGTCGAAATTCTGAATCTACGCATACGATTCCCTTCTATGAAAACATTTTTGAAGCTCTACGACCTTTCCTAAGGCCTTTTCCAGCAAAAAAAGGTGCGCAAATGTCCAGGTGCGCAAATGTTCAGGTGCGCAAAAAAAGGTCGCATTTGTTCCACCCCCCAAAAGTTAATAGCTTTTGCTGGTTCTTTTAGTGTACTTTAAGTGCAAAAGTTTTCTGATGATTGTGCTTTGAAACGATGAAATAACTTTGCTAAACTTTTGTGCATCGGTTTTTCGTTACTAGCCAAAATGGAAATGCATAGCAATTGTAGAAGATTTGACTAAAAAAAACGAACTTTCCACAGCTTCATCCTCTTCAACTGGATAAGTGATTGGTGCAGGTCGACTCCTTGTTGTAGTGGGTCTTTGATAAGTAGATCTCGTAGTCGGCCTTGTGGTTGTTGTGGTTCGTTGAGTGGGTGGACCGTTATCTCTTTCATCAGTGCTATACTTTATGCCACTTGCTGCTGCATAATCTGAAAGTAAACACCTATAAATCTTCTCAAAGCGTTTTTAGCTAGGGAATTCGAAGTGGTTTGTTTACCCGAGACTTAGTGCGCATAGAAATGCTTAGTCTAGAAGTATAGAAGTATAGAAACTAGTCTATTTGAGTCTGATTTGAAAGCTCATAATCGTTACCCAATCCAACTTATATTCTATAAATTGAACTGAGACTCGAGTTAGATCAATTTTCAATCCAGAAAGAGAACAAATAACTTTGCCAGAGACTTTGCCACTTTAGAAGTGCCTGTAAATGATTTACATTCATTAGATGAATGCCTGTGCATGATTTACATTTGATTCATATTCATTAGATGTATCTGTACATGATTTACATTGTTTTTTGAAGTGTTAAAGGTAGTAAAAGTACAGATACAGCACTGGACAATGAAATATCATATTTGAAAAAAGATCGTCACTTTCGCGCGTCTATCACTCCCTTGTCTTTGAGCTTAAACTATTAGTGTTATACATTTTCTGAAAGCTCTTTTCAAGGGCTACACAATGGTAATATTAATATTTAGAAATACGGTAAAGACAAGGGAGTTACAGACGCGCGAAAGTGACGATCGTTTTTCAAATATGATATATTTCATTGCCTGGTAGTGTAGTTCAAGAAAAAGTTAGAAAAGGTGTACTTTGTACTTGAAATTGCACTTCTAGTGTACTATATAGTGGAAAATGACCGTTTGAGTCATTTTTCACTATAAACGTTCAATTTTGGGAAGCTAACTCTATTTTGACGACACTAAACACCAACTTGTCCCTAAAGTGACTCGATTCCTTTTTTGGTACTATTAAACATGATACTGTAAATGTTACAATTATAGTTTTATCATTTACTTTTATTAGGTACAGCACTGGACAATGAAATATATTTGAAAAACGCCACTTTCGCGCGTCTGTAACTCCGTTGTCTTTGAGTTTAAACTATTAGTGTTATACATTTTCTGAAAGCTCTTTTCAAGGGCTACGCAATGGTAATATTAATATTTAGAAATACGGTAAAGACAAGGGAGTTACAGACGCGCGAAAGTGACGATCGTTTTTCAAATATCATATTTCATTGTCCAGTAGTGTAGTTAAACAACTAACATGTCTCATCTTCTCTCTCGTAATCCCTTTGTGATCCTCTCGTATTCCTCAGCGTTGACGCCTAAAAATTTTTGCTAATTTACCAAATCAAAATCTGACTTAAGCAAGCGAAAATTAAAATCAGAAATTCAAATCAGAGATTAAAATAAAGAAAGCATTCTTTTAAAGTCTAAAGAAGAAGCGGTTAGGAGAAGACTTACGTCAGCGTGTGCGTGAACCTGCATGAGGAAAAATTTGAGTTATAAGTTTGATGAAGGGAACTCACGGAGTAGCCCCAATAGTCTCTCTTTTGGCGAAGTTGTTGACCGTGCGCTCGTTGCGTTTTGCCCACTTGTTGCCATAATGATGAGGATCTAGCCTAAAGCTTTTAAATCCTTTACTAGTAGCCAAAATCAAGCTAAAACAAAACTCAAAACAAGTTTAAACTCTACACATCATTTTTAGAGTCAATCGCATCTTAACTGTAAACTTTTCAGAGATAAAAAGACTCAAAATGTGAGCTCAACTGTTTACTCTTCTTTTTTCAAATTTCCAATTATTCGATTTCCTTTTGAAGTTGAAAAAATGATAGCCTTTCCCTAGGATTTCCACAAAAAAAACTAGCTAAAGAAAACTTTGAGGCAAACGATTGAGATGTTCGTCTGAAAAGAGTTTTTATGAATGGAAAACACCCACAATTAATCCATCAATCACCGCTTTTTCTCTATTCGATTTCAATTTCTTTTCTTTTCCTTTCGAAGCTTTTTGTGTGAGAAGACTGGGGGTGAGGGAAAGGGGAAAACTTCGCTGCGAGTTTTTTCTTCTTCTTCTTTCCAAGCTAACATCATTTTTTATCACTTTTAGAAAGGATAAAGTGAGATTTTCTTTAGCTTTTGATGCTTTAGAACACGGAGAATATGGAATTAATGGGTTTTATTGATTGTTAAATTCTAGGAAGCTAAGCTAGGCTATTTTCTGTAGCTCTAGAAGCTTTAGAACACAAAGAATATGGAATTAATGGGTTTTATTGATTGCTAAGTTCTATTAAGCTAAGCTAAGCTATTTTCTTTAGCTCTAGAAGCTTTAGAACATAAAGAATATGAAATTTATGGGTTTTATTGATTTTTAAGTTCAGGAAGCTAAGCTAAGCTATTTTCTTTAGCTCGAGAAGCTTTAGAACACAAAGAATATAAAATTAATGGGTTTTATTGATTGCTAAGTTCTAGCTAAGTGCTAAGTTAAGAAAGTTTCGATTAAACCTCAACAAGAGTTCTAAAAATTGTCTTTAGAATTTGCTTTTGCCAAAATTCAGACAAGAAATGGGGGCTAAAAAGAATAAAAAATTCTGTAACCAAAGTAACCCTTTTCTAAAGCTTAACAGTTAAACATTTCTATTCTCTTCTAGACCAAATCCCCCTTTAGCTTTCACCATGCTTTCCAAATCGAAAAAGCTGCTCCTTTTTCGGGAGATTCCTCTTAAAATAACCGTGAAAGCCGTAAAAAGTCTTGCATTTCCATCACCCGCTGTGCGTTAGGCTTTTTTTTTTCTAATCGAGAGTCGAAAAAAACAGCCAGTTTTTCTTGTCTACCCAAATGTTATCAAAAAAAAACTTGAAATTTGAAAGAAAATTCAACCGTTTGCACTTTGAAATGTTGAAATATGTTGAATTTGCTCAAATTCACGAACCTTGCAAAAGTCGAGCTCATTCTGAAGAAGTGTGTGTAAATTTTGAACATAATTATAGACAATTGGCACGGTGAGAATACAGACAAATGCAGCGATTACTGAAAAGGCGACGCCAGAGATCGCGAGTTTACGTAATCTGAATTGTTTTTGTATCTTTGAGTGCTAAAGTTTAGCTTTTAAATTGCCTAATCCTTTTGTGTTCACTTTTGTTTGTAAATAACTTGAGAGTTGTTTAAGATCATCTATTATACACTACTGGACAATGAAATATGATATTTGAAAAAAGATCTTCACTTTCGCGCGTCTGTAACTCCCTTGTCTTTACCATATTCTAAATATTAATATTACCATTGTGTAGCCCTTGAAAAGAGCTTTCAGAAAATGTATAACACTAATAGTTTAAACTCAAAGACAAGGGAGTTACAGACGCGCGAAAGTGACGATCGTTTTTCAAATATCATATTTCATTGTCCAGTACTGTACCTAATAAAAGAAAATGATAAAACTATAATTGTAACATTTGCGGTATCATGTTTAATAGTACCAAAAAAGGAATCGAGTCACTTTAGGGACAAGTTGGTGTTTAGTGTGGTCAAAATAGAGTTAGATTCCCAAAATTGAACGTTTATAGTGGAAAATGACCCAAACGGTCATTTTCCACTATATAGTACACTAGAAGTGCAATTTCAAGTACAAAGTACACCTTTTCTAACCTTTTCTTGAACTACACTACCAGACAATGAAAAATCATATCTGAAAAAAGATCGTCACTTTCGCGTGTCTGTAACTCCATTGTCTTTACCGTATTTCTTAATATTAATATTACCATTGTGTAGCCCTTGAAAAGAGCTTTCAGAAAATGTATAACACTAATAGTTTAAGCTCAAAGACAAGGGAGTGATAGACGCGCGAAAGTGACGATCTTTTTTCAAATATGATATTTCATTGTCCAGTGCTGTACATTTAGGCTACGGGTTTGCTGGTAAAATAGATAGATTTATACTGAAACTGTTCATCAGATAAATATGTTTTAAACTTTTCTTGACTTGTTGTTAATTTCAAATCATTTCAAATCATCAAGCTTTCAAAATCCTTTAAAAAACAAACCTCTCAGCTTCTCTCAAAAGTTTTTCTTCTCGTCCGTCGAGCCGTTCTCGCATTCTAAAGTTTCCTTTAAAGATTTGAAAGCAAATTAAATCAAAAATTAAATAAACACATAAAACTGAAAGTTTAAGAGTCAATTAATTTAATTTTTGATGAAAAAGTGAGCATGGGAAAGTAATGACAAGACAAAAGCAAAAGAAATGAACTAACGAATGAAAAACAAAAGCCAGACTATTTTGAAATAAGATACTTGCATAAAATTCTACACTATCAGGATTACTAGAACTCTGAGTACCAGCAGGAAGTTTTGAATTGAAAGAACCAGAATTGAAATCAATTAATGGAAAAGGATCCATCTCTGTAAAGCCTCAAGGTTAGAAAGAAACGATTAAAGGGGAAATCAACAATGTCAACAAAGAGAACAATGTCAAAAAAAAGCTACTTAAAATTATTCTAAATTAAACTCACAGAATTAAACAGACAAAACTTTAAAAGCTTCAGCTTTATTGAAATTCAACTTTCCATGGCTAAAAGATGAGCTGAAAAAAAGCGATAAAAAGTTCTCTAACAGGATTGTCGGTGAACACCTCGTTGATGAAAAACCCACAAAAGAAATGGCAGATGGCTTCTTTTGCCTTGTTTTCAACGTCTTTCTTAGCTTTTTTTTCTCTCTATTGAATGTCTGCACTCAAATCATTCTCATTTCGTTGCGTCAAATGGTTTTAGTGAAATGAAAGTGGAACTTTGAAAGAAATATGGAGATTTTATTGTAATTTTTTTTTGCTTTTAAGTTTAAACTATCAGAAAATGTTTCAAATTTCCAAAAACAAGTTAGAATCAAATTAACAAATCAAATATTAAACAAATTAAAATAATTTGACAATAGATCAAAAAACTCGGGCGCCGCTGGGAGTCGAACCCGGGACCTTTCGGTTATCGGGGGAGCCTGCTAACCATTACACCACAACGCACTTGCTGCCCTTAAGTTCAGAGGGGGTTAAGTTCCCTCCTCTCTGGATGACACGTCTCGGTTCATAGCCCTGGGGTGCGCTCGAAAGTAGGTATGACCTTAGTCAGCATCGCCAGCCAGCCAGCCAGCCAGTAGCCATGGAACTCGGCAGATCAAAAACTCGGGCGCTCCTGGGACTCAAACTTCCCTTACCAGGCAACTGTGCTAACCACTACACCACAACCCAGTCGACCTCCCTTACTCTAGAGGGAGTTAACTATCCTTCTAGTGAAATAAAATCAAAACTTGAGCTCAAACTCTACCAGAATTGCAATTATTTCAGTAAAATCTTTCTATTTTCCTGCTCCAATCAATCCTGTCAGATCTCTAAAACAAAAAAATGCCATTCTTCATTCGTAAATTTGAATTTTCTAACAGAATTGTACTTTAGAAGTACAATTCTGTTAGAAACTTACTAACAAAATTGTACTATTAGTTTTAGCACAAAAGTAAGCACAAAATTTCAATGTAAAATGAAAATAAATTTACGTAAATTTGAGCAAATTCAACTTATTTGACAAGAAATCAGCTCACAATTAAAAAAATTTAAAAAAAATTTTCTCTGTTTCTCGAAAACAAAGCATTTCTCTATGGTAGACATTCAAAATTTTCATCTCTTACAATTATCTAAACTCTTTTTGTTCTCATTAACCATTCTTGGCTTTACAAGTTTCCCAAAAACATCGAAAAATTGGAGAAAGTGATAATTTAGTGGATTTTATTGTGTTTTCATTGCAAAAAGTGTCACCAATTCGAGTTGTAAAAGATTTTTGTGAGAGAGAAAAAGTGTGAAGAAATATCTGAACAAAGGGAAAGGAAAAAGTGATTTTGATTCGTTGGAATAGAGATTTAAAAATCAAGATATAAAATTGAGCATAGTTTGGGGTAGGCTACTTTGCGCCAAATTTTTGCGTAACTAGGTGATTTGCGCAATTCGCCAGAACTTTCTTCTAAGTGGGCCAATCTTTATGATTTTGGTGTCATTTTGTAGATCTCAATAAGTGCAACAAAATGACACAAAAATCATAAAGATTGCCTGACTTAGGAGAAAGTTATGGTGAGTTGCGCAAATGATCCTGTTGCACAAATGATCCTGTTGTGCAAACGACCCAGTTGCACAAATGATCCTGGTTGTGCTTTAAAATGGCGTTAAATCCTGTTGCACAAACTTGAAACAAATGTTAGCGCAAATGAACCTGTTGCGTTTTACAATGTTCCTGGGTTAGCGGTTGACTTATCGATTGATTTTGCAATTATTTGACATTTACCCCAGAAATTGGCGAATGAACAATTAGGGACAAACTAGGCCCAAAAACGTAGACTACAAGTCGCGCAAATGACCCTATTGTGCAAATGATCCTGTTGCGCAAAAAAAATTGCGGAAATTAGCCTTGTTTTTCCATAAATTCTATTATAATTTAAAAGTTTTATGTGAAAAGATTGCGAGAAAATGCGAGCTGAAGAATAAGAATGAGTCGGATAAGAATCGGCATAGATTTGAGAGGAGAAAGGAGGGATTGCGAGATTTGTATTTGAAACAAAAGATGTATATAAATAGCTATTGAAATTTGTTTGTATTTTAAAATGAAAACAAATCTTTTCGCTAGCTCATTAACTAGAAATTTCTTGGACAAGTACGAGAATTTTAAGCAAAATTGAAGAATCAAAGATTTTCGCTAGATTGAATGTACCAGAAAGGATGTATTTGGAAAATTTCACGGGAAAAATGCAATTTGAAGAAAGAGCTTGTTTTAGAAGAACTCTTGGAATCATTTCTAACACAAATTTCAACCTAATGTGCTTTAGAAGTGCTTTAGAAGAATCATTTTTACTTTCTAGAGTCTAGAGCATAAAGTAAACGCTTTAAAGATATTTAAAGAAGAAGATAAAGTGCTTTAAAGATTAACGCATTCGAATCATTTTACCCAGACAAATGTTGGATTTATTTAAAACCATCACCAAATATCCTTGTGGGTGAAAGCCATTGATTACGGGTGATTTCAGTCTAAGACCGACCTTTTCCATATCTTTTCCATATCCATAAAATTTGTTTGTACTTTAAAATGAAAACAAATCATTTCTAGCTTATTAACTATAAATTTCTTGTAAATGTACGATAATTTTAATGCAATAAGTTGAAATTTTAAGCAAAATTGAAGAATCAAAGATTTTCGCTGGATTGAATGCACCAGAAAGGGTGTGTTTGGAAAATTTCACGGGAAAAAGGCAATTTGAAGAAAGAGCTTGATTTTAGAACAAGTCTTGAAATCATTTTTAACCCAAATTTCAGCCTAATTTGCTTTAGAAGAATTAGAGTTCTAGAGTCTAGAGCATAAAGTAAACACTTTAAAGATGTAAAAGCATTCGAATCATTTTACCCAGAAAAATGCTGGATTTATTTAAAACCCATCGAATGTCCTTGTGGGTGAAAGCCATTGGTTACGGGTGATTTCAGTCTAAGACCGGCCTTTTTCCATATCTTTTTCTGAAGCTTTTCCCTTTCCCCAATCCTGTAATGTCCTTTTAGTCAAAAAGAGAAACTCCTCCTTTCGTTTGTTCTCAAATAGAAAAAGTTTTTTCTAAAAGACTCTCGATTTGGAAATTTAATGAAAAAAAAGAAGAGAATTGTCTCTTTAAACAAAACAAAATTGTATTTAGAGTTCGACAAGAGAGCATACAAAAATACTTACTAATTTGTTTTCTACTAATGTCTACTATAGTTTTTAGTACTGATAGGTTAGCCAGAACTAATTAGACAGGTTGGCAGAACCAGGTTAGCCGAACCTGGGTTGGGGGGGGGGGGGTAGCCCGGGGGCCGGGGGATAGGTTAGCCAGAACCTCATTACCTTTGTGAAAGTACAAAGTACGAATCTCTAGCAAATTTCTGTTTATTAACTCATTTCTAGCCTTTTAATCATGTTAGAAAGCTTCAGAGATGTGAGAACAGAGATTAAGTGCACTAGAAAGGGTGTGTTTACATTCAGCTGGATACTTTTGCTTGTAAGAGAAAGAGAAAGTATCCAGTTTTATTCACTAAATGAAAAATAAAGAGAACAAGAGAATAGTGTGCTGGAAAGCTTGCATTTGTGAAAGCATAAAGTATCGGTGACGATGATTGAACTTCTATTTGAGGTCAACAAGAAAAAGAAGATAATGATCAATAGAGATAGTTAATAACTTGTAGAAAAGTTGAGAAAAGTTACAGAATTCTTGTAAAAAAGAACTGAGGTCAGAGGACAGTTGGAGGCGAAAGAAATCGAGAATGAGAAGGGGAAAAAGTGGGTGGAGAAGTGAATGGCAATTCGTTTATCGTCTTTCTCTTTCCCCCTTTTCATTCAAACGTTCCACCCTCGGGAAATGAAAAGCAAAAAGCGAGTGAGTATCGGTTTATAATCAAAAATCGGTTTATAATCTATTATAAAAGTATTTAAAATTTTAGAAAACAAAAATTTATTAATTTCTTTTGAATATTCAACATTTAAATGTAAAGTAAAAGTTTAAAAAAATCACATAAAAACATTAAATTTCTTTCGACAATGTTGCGAAACATAAACTTAACTAGAAATTTGATTTCTTAAACAAACTTAGTGAAACTTTTGTTTTATTATTCAGTAGACGGTTCAAGTTAGCAAGAAAATAGCTTAATAAACCGGTTAAAATCGTTATAACTTACTATAAATTATTAAGGAAAGGTAAGAACTAAAGGTAAGCTTTGTCTAGACAAAGCTAGTGCACTTTAGAATCGGATATGAGGAATCCGAAGCTGAAATCAAAATCTACCAAATGAATTCCTAGGGATCAAAGACAAACAAAAACAAAAAGTCGTGCCAGGGATGGAACCCTCGTCCTACGCGTGGGAGGCTAACGACTTATCCACTAGGCCACCATGATAGCTTTTCTCGACTAAGAAGGAGCCTTTTAAAGCATCTGCTTTGATTTTTTAGCTTTCATTTTTTTGACAAATTTTCCATTAAAGTTTTACAAACTATTTGATTGGTTTTTGGAAAACTATTTGATAGTCTAGTGGATAACGCAGTAGGCTTCCACCCACAGGATCAGGGTTCGATCCCTCTTGCTGCGTTTTTCTTTCTTTCTCTTTGATTTCTGGAAAGTCATTTAATAGATTTTGATTTCAGATTCTGTTTCCTCATATCCCTTTCTAAAGTCCATTAGTTTTCCAGACCTCAAGAGCTCAAGAGCTCACCTTGAGTTCTTGAGTTCAGCATAATCAGTCAAACCAAAAGAGAATCAATCTATCAATCAAATTAAAGTAAATAATGAAAAGTGATTGTGTAAAAGTAATCAAGAGTTTCTATAATTGAGTTAAACTCACTTATCTATACACTCTTATAGCTTTTTTTATTAAACCGCAAGTCAGAAATGAAAAAAAAAATCTTTTTTCTGAAGGTTTTTGCTCATTTAAAAAACCAGCCCTCTAATTTTGTCGTTTCCTCGATAAAATCTCTTCAATTCTTTGTTCAACCACCTGAAAAACTTCCCTAAAAAGTGAAAAAAAGAGCTTACAAGAGCTTACAATTTATTTTTGACAATTTAAATTTTAATGAATTTAGTTCAAAGGATTTAAAAGAATCAAAAGGATTTCATTTCAATTACCCGAGGCTTAGTGTGTCTAAAGACATTAATGAATTCATGAATTCATTTCTCTCACATTTGTCTCACATTTAACACTCAAACATATATATTTTAGTAAGTTAATTTCATTTTTCTATAATCAAATAATTTAGGTTTAAAGTTTTCGAATACTTTCAGACTTGAAGGTAAACATCTAAAGGTAAACTTTAGATGTTGAACAGCTTTTTCAATTCCCAATACTATTAGGTTGATGAATTGAAAACTGCTGGACTTTGAACTAAAATTTATTCAACATAAAACCATAAATTCATTCCAAATAATTTCCATTATTATTGACGACTTCTGCCAATTTTACAGGCAATTTGCGGATTCCTCTTTCGTAGTAGGATTTTGGTTTTGAATCGAAAAACTTTCAAAGTCAATTTTTGACTACTTCTTCCGAATCGAAGTGTTCTCCCGCAACTCATGCTCCGGAATAAATAGTAATCAAAAGGGGCGAGGCCCGGACTGTGTGGGGAATGCGCCAAAAGTTCCCAAACAAGGCTATTTATTTTAGAGTTAGTCAGTTTTGCAACGTGAGGGCGCGCGTTGTCGTGGAGGAGAACGATCTTTGACTTGAAGGGTCTATTCTTCTTTAGGGATTCATTCACCTTTTTCAACTGTTCACTGTATTTGACTGCATTAAGGGTCGTCTTGCTATCCAGCAACTCCCAGTACAAGTGTGTGAGACAAGTGTGAGACTCAAAAATGGAGGTCTGGAGATGTCCCAGTTTGAGCACTTTCTTCAAAAGAAACCCATTTTGGTGTCAATAGAAAAGTTGTAGAGAATCAAAAATTAGGCTTATAGCCAAATTTCCAAAAAGATACAGTTAGTAGCTTCGCTTAAAATGCAAATTTTGTGAAAATTCGTAAATTTGGCATTTCTTGAAAACCAGTTTTTGAATCGTTCGGAAAATTTGGATATAAGCTTTATTTTTGATTCTCTACAACTTTTCCATTGACACCAAAATGGGTTTCTTTTGAAGAAAGTGCTCAAACTGTCACATATGACAATAGCCCGCAGTTTTCAATGCACCAACCCAATAAAAATCAAATTTTCGTTTTTTTCTTGAACAATGCACTTGCTTTAAGCTTTAAGCTTTTATCTTTAAGCTAAGAAAAGCTAAAAACTTAAAAGCTCTTTCTATCCAAACTCCAAACCTCTCTTGTCACAATCGTTCTTGTCGTTAGAGCATCGAAGAAAACTTTCTCATCAAAGTTCAACAATCGAGCCACTCGTTTCAGCACATCCATATTTGCCACTTCAACCGCTTCCATATTGTGAACAGTTGTAGCTTAAAAGGAAAAGCTTAAGTTTAACTCAACTAAATTCTTTAAATCACATCGATATCGAACATTTCCCGTATGCAAAAGAGTCGATAAAATCCGGAAGATTGAGTTCACTTCAGGATCTTTAAACATTAATACTTTCATTGCTGAACGAATGTCAGCAAAGTCTGCAGCATCGTCTCGCCCATCGGCTACCAATGTTTTTCCCATGACAATCGCCGGCAGTTTTCAATTCACCAACCCAATAGGTTAAATGGAAAATGAACAAAGCCTTGAATATTTATCAATTTACTTAAGTACACAAGAGCAACTTGGGAAATATTTAAAATTTTATTCAAGCTTTTCAGTGTCCTTTAACTCGGGTGATCATCCTCGAGACATCTATTGTTTGGTGGACGAAACAGGCGGAGGATTACTCGTTCCATGGATAAAATACGCGCGTTCATCTGGTAATTCTAATATTTATATTAAAAAAGTCACAATAATGTCACATAGTAAACCACCATTTCTTCTTAATAACCCTAAGAAATTTGCCTATAAACTTTAGACTTGCTTAACGCGAGTAACGAGACAAATGGGTCGCACAACTCTAAGCGCTTCATCTCCAGAGTATCGCATTCAAGTAAACTTTTTTCTATTTAAAAGCCAAGATTTTAAGCTATCTAACGATCACATTTAGATTTTTCTTTTGAAAAAGTGATTCAAAAAATCTTATTGAGAATTAACGAGATAACGAAGAATTGTCTTGTTAAATCTTGATAAGGTTTTTGACTCCCGTTTTTAAAACAAAAATATAAGTGATAGGTATCATTAAATAGCTTAAAATCTTCACTTTTAAATAAAAAAAGTTCATTGAAATCGAATACTCAATTCCAATACAAAGAATTGTCTCGCTAAACCTCGAATCTTTTTGACCCATTTTTTCAAAAGAAAAATTTAAGTGTTTAGTATTATTAAAATAGCTTAAAAGCTTAACTTTTAAATAGAAAAAATTTCATTGAAATTTGCTTGAGTTAGAAAAGCTTATGAGATCGACAAGCTTCAGTCGGAAAAGCTTATGAGATAGACAAGCTTCAGTCGGAAAAGCTTATGAGATAGACAAGCTTCAGTTAGAAAAGCTTATGAGATCGACAAGCTTCAGTTAGACAATCTTTATCTTTTAAAACTCGACCCTCATTCTGTTCTTGATTGAGGCAATCAAGAATGTTTGGGGCTTCTTGAGAGTTCTCTGGAGGCTAGTTTGAGCGCTTCGAGTTGTAGGACCCGATTTTTTGAACTTTTGAGCAAGCCTAAACTTGAGGAATGATTGTTGAAATCCCATACAAAACTTTGCATGCTCATAACTTTTGACAGAGTGCTCTGTAGCAGAAATGGAAAGCAGATTCGGAATCAGCGCAAGTTTCTGCGTCAAATTGTATTTAGCTCATGTCCTTTGGCCACTTTACTCACTTCCCTTGTTAATATTTAGCTAAAAAAGTCATGATTCTGCTAGAAATCAAAAAGAAATGAATGAAATGATCGTTCTTTTTGTGAGATTGCTGAATTCTCTTTAATGAAGCGGGTAATTGAGCCAGAATTGCATTTGAATCACCTTTATCACCTTTATTCTAATAATATTTAAGTATTTATAGGAGACTACAACATCCTCGAGGAATACCTGGATACCGCTGTATGAAAAGAATATACAAATTTAATAGAAATTCGATTTATAACAAATTTCAGGTACGTTCCTTCATGTACAATGGCGGAAAGGGAAAACTGGTGGCTATCTCGGAGTTGGTGAAGATAAGGAACGATCAGAGGAATGCCTTATTGGGTGAGAGATTGAATTGTGTTAGAAAAATGATCTTAAAATCAAAAAAAAACAATTCCAGGGGCTTTACGTCGAAAGAAAGGTCGTGGACAGGGAGCCCCAAACATTCTTGATTACATCAATCAAGAACAGAATGAGGGTGGAGTTTTAAAAGGTAAAGATTGTCTAACTCAAGCTTGTCTATCTCAAAAGCTTGTCTAACTCAAAAGCTTGTTTATCTCAAGCTTGTCTATCTCGAGCTTGTCTATCTCAAGCTTGTCTAACTCATAAGCTTGTCTAGCTCAAGCTTGTCTATCTCAAGCTTGTCTATCTCAAAAGCTTGTCTAACTCAAGTTTGTCTATCTCATAAGCTTGTCTATCTCATACGCTTTTCTAACTCATAAGCTTGTCTAGCTCAAGCTTGTCTATCTCATAAGCTTTTCTAACTCAAGCTTGTCTAACTCATAAAGTACCTCTACAATTGGAAAAATTAGCTTTGAAAATCTTGGATGGAGCCAACTTCAGCAATCAGCACAAGATTCTTCGCTATCGAGAAATCGTTTGGGATATTAATCAAAGAGGTAAGCCTTAGAGGTTTAAACGATCTTTTTAAATTTAAATGTTTATGTATGTTTTTAATATAAATCTAGCCTGCAGGACGAAAGTTTTATCCTTTTAAAGTTCTCTTTAATTGAATTCTCGCTGATTGTTATTATTTTCTAAGTGTTTATAGCGAAAAGATAGACAATTATTTACAGAATTTAAATCTTATTACCTTTTTTTAAAATAACCATTAGATTTTGAGCTATCACAGTTTGCGTGAGCTCTGTGGTCCCACCAGTCTTATCAGTATAAGAAAATCTGTTAAACTTAGAACTCATGATTAGAATGATTCAAACAAAATTGTTTATCACTTTCAAATTGGAAATACAAGAACAGGTTTCAATAAGTTTATATTTGTTATAAAAATTTTTGCAAAAAAAAGCGCAACTTTTTTCGAAAAGCAAATAACGCACTTTTTAGAATAGCGATAACTTAAAATCGAAAAAAGTTATTTAAAAACTTTAATAATATTTAAATTCTGTAAAAGATTAGCTATCTTTTGGGTATAAATACTTATAAAATAAAAACAACCAGAAGGTTTTTAGAGAGAAGGACTAAAAAGGAAAGAACAGTATTACTTATTCAATATTATTGTAGTAACCGAATCTAGAGATAAGGAACCAAATTTAGAGATTAGGAACCAGATTCAGAGAGATAAGGGACCAAATCTAGAGAGATAAGCAACCAAATTTAGAGAGATAAGGAACCAAAGCTGGAGCGTTAGGGAACCAAATTTAGAGAGATAATGAACCAGATTGGTAGAGACAAAGCCCAAATTTAGGGAGATAAGGAACCAAATTTAGAGATTAGGAACCAAATTTAGAGAGATAAGCAACCAAATTTAGAGATTAGGAACCAAATTTAGAGAGATAAGCAACCAAATTTAGAGAGATAAGGAACCAAAGCTGGAGCGTTAGGGAACCAAATTTAGAGAGATGAGGAACCAAATTTGAAGAGATAATGAACCAGATTGGTAGAGACAAAGCCCAAATTTAGGGAGATAAGGAACCAAATTTAGAGATTAGGAACCAAATTTAGAGAGATAAGGAACCAAATTTGTAGTAAATTCAATATATAGTAACATTATTCAATATTACTGATTATTCAATATCAAGTGATTAAGTCACTAAATTTCATAATTCTAGGAAAAATGGGTGAAACTCTTCTTCACATTTGTCTCCTTCACAACACTACTGAAATGAATGAATTGGCAAAACAAATCATTATAAGATTTCCAAAAATTGTAAACGATATCTTCATCTCTGAAGATTATTATGGATTTTCTCCTTTACATCAAGCCATCGTTAATGAAGACCTAGCAATGGTGTATTTTTTGTTAAAAAATGATGCTGACGTTCATCAAAGGTAGAATTAAATCAAATTTTCTTGATCATTGTCATTATTATTACCGTAAATACTGTAATAGTACCCCACTGCCCTCGTACAGTCGCGTAGTGGTAAGAGTTTTTTTAGTATTCCATTTTTTCCAAAGCGCCCGTACTTTCAAAAAATGCGTCTTTGGTATTAAAAAATAGCTGAAATTCAGGGCTATTTTTTGATACCTAAGCGCGCATTCTAGCATAAACCAGTGTCGAGAAAAACTCGTTCAAAGCTAGACTACGAAACGCTCCGCACCGTCATTATCTTTGGTATCAAAAAAAGTGCCTTTAGTATCAAAAAATAGCCCTGAATTTCAGCTATTTTTTGATACCTAAGCGCGCATTGTAGCATAAACCAGTGTCGAGAAAAATTCGTTCAAAGCTAGACTACACAACACTCCGCACCGTCATTATGGGGGTGCGGTACTATTACAGTATTTACGGTAGCTTTTTTAAAATTCAAAATATTGCTTTTAAGATGTTACGGTTCTTTCTTTTGTGCTGATGATCAGAAGAGCTCTCGGAGTGATTCTTTAGAATATGAATGGGTTGATCTCAATCAGAATACAAACTATACTGGGTGAGTAGAGGTAAACTTGTTAATCTAAGCTTTAATATATTAGAGATGTTAAATTAGAAATGTTTTGCTTTTCAGCCAAATGTACTGGGGTGAGTACCCGCTTTCTTATGCCGCATGTACAAATCAAGAGGACTGCTTTCGACTGCTTCGAGCATTCAAAGTAAAGTGTTCTTCTTAAATCATTTTTTAAAATACACTTACTAAAACTTCAATATAACGACCTTTGATACAACGATTTGAAATTCTAAATCGCGTTCTGGATTTCTGCATAGCTGCCCGGTCAATCATTGGTCAATCAATCGTTGGCCAATCAATCGTTAGCCAGTTCAATAGTTAGCCAAGCAATCGTTGGCCAATCAATTGCTGGCCAATCAATTGTTGACCAAGCAATCGTTCGCCAATCAATCGTTGGCCAAACAATTGCTGGTCAATCAATTGATGGCCAATCAATCATTGGCCAATCACTCGTTGGCCAATCAATCGTTAACCAGTTCAATAGTTAGCCAATCAAACGTTCGCCAATCAATTGTTAACCATTCAGGGCAGCTATTTTCATATTTCAGCATCTTTTAGAATCGTTATATCGAAATTTTTGATCCCAAGCGATGTTTGACTGTATTTGAGAAAGCTATCGTATTCAACTTGTTAGTTTAGAGTCATTTAATCCAATTTTGATATCATTCGATGAGGAATTACAAGCCTCATTGAATGATCTCAAAATTGGAGAAAAATTAACGGTTTGACTACAGTCATTTTCTACAATACAGTCAAATATCGATTGGAATCAAAAATTTCGATACAACGATTCTAAAAGGTGTCGAAATATTGTGCGTAGCTGCCCTGAACGGCTAACAATTGATTGGTCAACTCTAACTCCAACAACTCTAACAACAACTTCAATAACTCTACCAACTCTAACAACAACTCCAACAACTCTAACAACTCTAACAACAACTCCAACTCCAACAACTCTACCAACAACTCTAACAACTCTAGCAACAACTCTAACAACTCTAACAACAACTCTAACTCCAACAACTCTGCCAACAACTCTAACAACTCTAGCAACAACTCCAACTCCAACAACTCTAACTCCAAAAAACTTCGATACATTTTATAAAACGTATTATTCAAGAGAAATACAATCTAATTTAAAGTCTAGTTTCTTATTGTACTAAAAGTTGGTAAACTTTTCTTTACAAAGTACAGGATGATTGAAATTTCTATTAGATGATGCATTCAGGCTGATCCAAATCATCAAGATACAAATGGGAACACTGTGCTTCACATGTGTGTCATTCACAATGTTCCAGTAAGTTAACAAGCTTCATACTGCTATAGTTTTTATGTGGTTCAACCAAAGTAACATAGACTTTTACTATATAATACTATTGTTTTAGGAAATGTTCACCTTGGCGTTTAGCCTTGGCGCAAATCTCCATATCAAGAACAATTTACAGCTTTCTCCACTGGCTTTAGCGGCTAGATTGGCTAATAAAAAGGTTTTCATTGATTCATTGATTCTTTTACAAGTAAAATTCTAGATCTATGATTTAATCCTCTCACTTGAAATGGATATTGTTTGGAGGTATCGAGACGTTGTTTGTAAAGCCTATCCACTTGTTGATATTGATACAATTGGTGAAGAAGCAGCTGATCTTAACATGAACTCAGTTTTAGCTAATATTGTTTATGGAGTGAGTGAGATTGTAGATTTCTATCTATTACTTGAAAAAATTTTTAGGACAAAGAGCAACATTTAGAGTTTTTTGATGGTTTTATTGATCAACTCTTACAAAAGAAATGGGAAACATTTGGGAAAAAACGGTTTTTTTTCTTTTGAAAATCTATTTTCATACACAATTTCAGATTGCTTTATTCATTGTTCTGGTTTTTCTTTTTATTGACTTCATTTTATGCGGCATTCATGACAAGAAGAGTTTCTCTATTGGTAACCATAATTTTTGAGTTTTGTTCTGATACAAGCTGATAAAAGCCACTCACGGTGCCTCTTATCAGCGGCTGAACGTTGGCTTATCACTCAAGGCCCTCTAACCAGCCTAACGTTGGAGTGTTTCCATAAAAAAAATTTGAAAACGTGAAAAAACTCTAAAAAGAATCGAACCCGTGCCCGACTCACTGACGGCGACCTTGGAAACCAACGCGCTAGCCACTCAGCCATGCCGTTCTATCCCTGACCTTCGAGGCGTGCGATGTAATAACTGCTCACGCCGCAAAAAGGGCCGTGGTGCGGCCTCGATTTTAACTTACAAGGGAACGGTCAGATTGCAAGCGCGAATCCGAACCAAAGCTACGCTATGAACGCAAGTCAGACACTGGCAACACGATGGCGTTTTTAGTTTTTGCCCAAATGCTCTAGATTTCTGGGAATTTGACTCCCTAGTGCACTAAGCGGTATATAACGGCTGCCTTTGTCTGCGAAGGATAGCGGTTCCTCGGGACAGTGGTAGGTGCCCCTGGTTCACGCTTTAATTTCAGTTCAGGTTTAATCCCCACGCTCGTCATTGTTTTTGTTAGTGTTTCACGCCATCATTCCCGTGTCTGACTTGCATTGGTAGCTTAGCTTTGGTTCGGATTCGCGCTTGTTAAATCTGTTCTCTAGTTAGAATTTCTATGAGCACGATTTTAGAAAAAAAATGGTAAAACCAAATAAAAAGTCTTGTATTTTCGTGTAGTTTCTAGTGTTGATGTGTCATTTCCTCCAGGTCCACGAAAAGTGTGACCGAGATTTTATTATTTATAGACCGTATTTTCTCTAATAGTGGTGCACCCCGGCGAGCCGAGTTGGTGGCTATTTTACGGTTTCCAAGCTTTGGCAGAAGCTCAGCACTCTAATTCCCCACAAGATCTCATCGTCAGCTACATTTTCCGACCCCACATCAATAGGTTCTGATAAGTGATTCTCGAGATTTCGAGGAATTTAGGCGACGCTCAGGGTGCAATATTATTAGAGAAAATACGGTAGGCTCTTAAAAACTATACTATTGAATGATTAGAATACCGTATATTCTCTAATAGTAGTGCGCCCCGGGCCGAGTTGGTGACTATTTTACGGCTTCCAAAGTTTTCACAGAAGCTCAACACTCAAATCCTCCACTAGATCTCATCGTTAGCTACATTTTCCGACCCCACATCAATAGGTTCTGATAAGTGGTTCTCGAGATTTCGAGGAATTTTGGCGACGCTCAAGGTGCACACTACTATTAGAGAAAATACGGTATATAGATTCTTCTGGAAAAAACATTAAATCTAGGTAGCTATTGATGATATTTTGGATAATCAAACAAGAATCGCATTGAATTCCGATCTTTCACTTGAAGTTATTATGGCATTGAATGATGAAGAAAAAGCTGTGATCGAGCAGTGTCATTTGCTTTTTTATGGAATTTCGCAAAGAGAAAATGTAAGGAAAAAGGGAAATTTCGATAAGCAACAGTTAGTTTAACTTTCTAGTTCTAGATTTCTATCTTATTTTGTTATTCCTTGATTTCTTTTGAGTCTAAGTTCAGCTTGAAAGAATGAATTTTTCAGTTTTATTTGTTTTTGTGATACATTTAAAAGTTATATATTTAAAAATTTGTACTAATTTTCGATTTATCGATTTAGATCCGTTTCTTCAGTGAAATGATGACCGTTTTCCTTGTCGTTCTCCACATTGCAAGATTGGCTACTGAAGTACAAGACTCTGGCATCCTTGTCTACTGGGAAACGATTGTAAGAATATTTATTTTAAAACCAAAAAAAAATCCCCTATCTAGAAATCATTCCCTGAGAAATGTCTCTTTAAAATCTCACTCGCTCTAATCGTTTTGATGATCCCAGTACGGTTCTCTTGCGGTGTTCACTCGAGTTTTCTCTTCATTGAAAACATTCTCGCAATCACATCAGTCATGATGATGACAATGCATTTTTTGTTCTTTTGCAGGTAAAGATTGACTGGCTTGAGCTGGCTGAGAAGGCCAAATTACGCAGAATTTCATGCTGATTCCGAATCTGATTTCCGTTTTTGCTGAACGTAATTCTGGCAAGAGTTATCAGCGTCTAAAGTTTTGTTAGGACTCTGAAAATATGGGTTTTTGGGTTTTAGACGTCTTTAGCGCGGCCTCAAGATCTAGTAGACCGTGGTCGAGCGGTAGAGCGTCTGTATTCGAGACGAAAGATCTCGGGTTTGAGACCCGGTACCGGTTTTTTTTCGAGATGTGAAAACTTGCGTTCTTTATGTGCTAGGAAATGGACCAGCTTCCGAGATCATGGTTTAAACAGTTAACAGATCACAGTTTAAACAGTTACCTAGAGCTACCTTGAGATGCTCAGCAGTAAAGGATAAGGCCTATCTTGGCGGCGGTGATCAACATGTCGGTGTAGCTCACAATTTAATGCCCGAAAATCTGGCTCAGCCAGTTCCCTTTGAGTAAGGAGATAGTGTTTAATTTCAGAAAAAAATCATGCGGAAGAGTTATAAGGCTGAGTTGAGGACAGGTTGGGAATACAAAATGTTGGGGATTCGAACGCGCGACCTCTTTTACCTCGCAATCTAGCGATGGCAAGTGCTTTACCAATAAGCTACACCGTCATGTATCCCATTACCGCCAAAGTAGGCCTTATCGGTTGGAAAAGGTTACTGACGGGACTCGAGCCCGAGACCTCTTGCTTACCTGACCTTCCCACCCAGCAAACGCTTTACCAATGAGCTACACCGACATGTTGATCACCACCGCCTAGATAGGCGTTATCCTTTACTGCTGAGCATCTCAAGGTAGCTCTAGATAAGCTTTTTTAGCTAACTAAACTAGATATCTATTTTTTAATAATATCTTCTGAGATTAGATTTATCAAACATTTAAGAGGTCTAAAATTTGTGGGCCCTTTTGTACTAATGGTCTACAAGATCATCCTCGTCGACATGCTTCGTTTCTTCTTGATCTATCTCGTTTTTCTTCTATGTTTTAGTCAATGTAAGACGTTTTATTTGATATTTAGTCAATCTAAGAACAGAAAATTTGATTCTAAACATTGTACTTTAATCTCAAATCTTTTAATTTCTCTCATTTAGCTTTCTCTATAATCTTTCGAGCTTGTGAGAGAGAGGAGATCGTTCATATGAAGAGAATGAATATTACTACAGATGATTATCAAAGAAAATTTACAAATATTATGGATACTCCATGGTCTTCAATTATGAGAATGTTTATTATGAGTGTTGGCGAATTTTCAGCTTTCTATCGTAATCTTCATGAATGCAAATCGAATATGGCACAGATGGGAAAGGTTTGAATTCGATTTAATAAAAGAAAGTCAAAGAGTTTATATACCCTAAAGTCTCGAGTATAAGTTCATCCGAGTATAAGTTCCCTGAACGTTCCCTGAACGAAAGCCTAGAAACGCTGAACGTTTTTGGTTTGAACTGCCGAGAAATGGCTTGTTAGTGTCAGGTAGGTAATTTTATTATTTAAAGAGCTTTATCCTTTCAATCGGTGAACTTCGACATTTAAAATAGTATTCATAAAAGAAAATCTACTGATATGTTAAGTTCTAAGAATGTATCTTATTAAAATTAAGGTTTAAACTATTATTATTCAATAAAGAATGATAAATATCAAGTACCCTAAAGTCTCGAGTATAAGTTGATCCGAGTATAAGTTCTGCCTTAATTTACATTCGCTTTAATTGCTTTGAATTTCTTTTTGTTGGGTTTTTATACATTTTTATTGTTATATAAACTTTTATTATTGTTCTTGGAGCGCGGGATACTAGCCTATCACCATTGCTGGCGTGACAGCCTATCACCATTGCTATTTGTTATGTGCATGGATACATCCAGACGATAGTGTTGAAGAAGACGCTGGCAAGCATCTCTTTCGATCGTCGACGTGGACTTTGGCCGGATGAAGAGGCCAGGGAGGGATCCATAAGACTGAGCACCGGAGAGGAGCAGGGCGGACGCGCCGAGCCACGCCCGGAGCAACAAATAACAGCATATAACCCTCAATAAATTTACTTCTATTATTGTTCTTAAAAAGCAAAAAAGCTGCAGCGGGGTTCGAACCCTCGACACACCGCACCGGAGACAGCCGTCAATTTGCATGCGAAAACCAAACAGAACTTATACTCGCGACTTTAGGGTAACTTTGAACGTTTTAAAGCATTTAAATAAGATTTAGGCTCTTTTCATCATCTATGAACTTCTTGTAACGGTCATGCTTTTAAATCTCCTAATTGCTATGATGACTCGAACTTATGAGAAGATTGCTGAAGCTGAAAAAGAATGGAAAAGACAAGTTGTTGAAGAAGAAATCATTGAATTTAGAAATTCAGTGGGCTAAAGTGATCTTGATGATTGAACAATCGTTATCGAGTTTCTCTCGAAAAATGGCTCTCTACAGTTACTCAAGACCATTGAGATCCGATATTCGACAAAGAGCATTCATTGTGCTTGAGAAAGGACAAGTCAATCTTTATTTTAAACAAATTTTCTTACCAACATTGTCAGAAATAAGCTGATAAAACATTTCTCAATCAAAAGAACTTTCCATAGCTTTCTTTTTCAAGATAGCTACCGTAAATACTGTAATAGTACTCCCTCGCCCTCGTACAGTCGCGTAGTCGCAAAGGTTTTTTAGTATTTCGCAAACATCTTCATTTTTTTCAAAGCGCCCGTACTTTCAAAAAATGCGTCTTTGGTATCAAAAAATAGCTGAAATTCAGGGCTATTTTGACCTAAGCGCGCACGCCGGCGGAAAAACGCTGTCAAAGCAGACTACACAACCCCGCACCGTCATTAGGGGGGGGTACTATTACGTATTTACGGTATGGAGTTTTCCTTCAAAATCAATTCGCTTGATCTGGCTTTGACGATCCTTGGTTTTTTTGGTAAACTATATTAGTGTGCAGTGCGTGAGAGGGTACCGATGGGGCAATGATTATTAGATATTTATTCTGATTATTATTCCCAATATAGCACGATCACTAATCTAGCGAGAAAGTACAATAAAATCGAATCAATCGTTGGTTCAGTGTGTCAAAGCCAAACGAGCAAGAATACAAAGTGAGCTTCGTCTTTTTTATCACAAAAACGATCTTTAGAGGAAGGACTTGTCCATCGGAGAATCAGAGATATTCAAAATCAAAGCATCAAATAAGATTTCAGAGAAAAGAGCTACTTTTCTGCACAATTAGACTAGAATCTATCATTTTCTTTATTTATTTTTAAGAATTTATCCAAAAGCTTCTAGGGTCCAACTCCTGAAATTCACACGGAGCCCACGAGAAAACGCTCATCGATGATCCGTCTCTCTCCACACAATCATCTTTCACGAATCGGATCAACAAGAAATTGGAAACCAAAATAAGTGACGAATCGGATCAATGAGAAATTGGAAACCAAAATAAATTCACGCATTTCTAAAGTGTCTAAACCGCATCATCGAGCTGGCTTAACGTATCATCAGCATCATCATCGAGCTGACTTCACGCTCCCAAAAAATGCAGACACAAGACATTTTAAACCCGTTTTAATGTTATTTTGCAGAAAAATAATTGGCCTTTCTAATGAAACAAACCTTGATTCAATTGGTGAATTTGTTATTCTTACAAGAAAGAACGAAAAGGAACGAAAAGACTCTCCGAACAGCCCAACAATCAAAGCTGATGTTTTGATATTTAGATTTTAAATTGATATTAATATTTAAATATTAAATATTAAATATTAAATTGAGTACTTAGTACAGCAGTTATCAATTTCCTTACTTGGTTGTAAAGTTGTACTTTTTCTGGAGAAGATATCGAATGTAGGTAAGCTCGTCTCGGAGCTGAAACTTTAAATTTCCCAATAAAGATACTGTTTCAGAACTTTCGACGCTTTAGATACCGTAATCCTTAGCCAAACCTCATAATCAGCCTCCGATTCTAACAAATCAAAGACATAGGCGCCAAAAAGGAGATAAGTGAAAGTGGAAATGATGAAAAAAAGAAATGACGAATTTTCGAGATTTCCATAGCAAAAGTGGGTATTTGAGTGAAATGCTATTAGGTTTGCAACTTAATAATGACGCGTTTGTGTAAGAAACCGGTTTGAGACCCATTTATTTCAAAAAACACAAAAGGAGAGCTTTCAATTCGAAAAGTATTCTCCATTAGTATCTATGACTTCTTTCCATCTTCTGCCCAAATCCAGAGCCCCCATCCTCGAAGAATTCGGGAGTTCTGGCAACCGATGTTCTGGCATTCCACGGTCGCCCTTGAAAGAAATACAAAGAACTTACGGTAACTCCTTTGTTGAATAGTTCCTAAAAACTTGACTCTTTTAAAATTCATTAAATTTTGAGTGGCTCATCTTCACATATCTTTGAAGCCCTACCTTGAAATAACCCCTTTACACCCCTTTACAGCCCCTTTACAGCCCATTGTGAGGCAACGCAAAACGAAATACAAATATATAGGTAGCACTTATCAGAGAGACTCATTTCTGCTCACATTTCCCCCGAATGCTCTTGTTATCGCTCTTCTGTCTCCTTTTGGGGTGCCACCTGGCGGTGACAATGACCGTTCAATGTCCTACCGGGGCTGATCACTATACGGATGGAAGCGAGTGCATATATGCGGTGAATGCAGGTTTTTTTTTTATTCTTTTAGGAAGAGTCCTCAAAAAGTTCATTGACTTCAGAAACCAACTACACCGTGGCCAAACAAATCTGCCAAAATCTCAAGGGGCGATTGTTCCAACCGACAAGCATCTATGAAAATGCCATTGCCGGAGCACAGATCACGATTGGTTTGTCGAAATTCTAAATTGTAACATGTCTTTTCGTAACATATGTAAAGGAAGATAAGCAAAAGTGAGGAGATCGGATTAACTTTTTCATCTGCCCAGCTCAAGAAGGTTCAGAACATTTGTAAATTGCGATCACTCTACAAACCTTGTCATTCAGTAAGCGGTACAAGCAGTCAATCGTATATTGGTGTGATCAAAGGATCAGATGGAACGTGGACATACGACGATGGTTCTGCACTGGCCTATCAGAACTGGAGAAGTGGTATCAAAAAAATGGTCGTCTAAACTCTCTAAACTCATACGTAGGCGATGCTCAAGAAAACGGAAGCTGTGCTGTGATGAGTGGACAAGACTATAAGTGGATGCCGGCGAGCTGTGGCTCGGCCAATACCTTAATATGCTCTGTTCCTGATCCCAGTGAGTGCCTTGTCTTTAGCTCGAATCACGGAGTCAACTTTAGCTTGCCCCGATGGATGGCTGCAATACGGGGAGAATTGCTATTATTTCTACGTACGTTGTTTCATTTGTTCTATGACTTTCCATTATTTTCAATCCACAGGACCCTCAGCTGTTAAACGATAAGAATTTCACGCTCCCGCAGGCGGCAGCGGCTTGCAACGCTATGAGCGCTGTTCTGACGTCGATTCACAGTGAAGCGGAGTTCAATTTCATGAAGGGTCAGCTCTAAACTGATTATTCTATGGCAGTTGCAGATTGAAACTTCAAAAACTTTATTTCTTTTATGATTCTCAAAGCGGCAGACTCTCTTTTAGACCTTTTTTAGGCTCTTTTAGACCGAAATATTTAGCTCAAATCGCCACCACAAGCGCCACAACCGTTTTTATCGATTGCAAGAGGCATCAAGCGATAATAGGATTGACGTGCCTTTACAGTGGTTCCTACCCGCAATGGTTCGATGGTTCCGTGTTCGACTACAGCAAGGGAGAAAAGGACTACAGTACTCCCGTATACGGGGTATGTTCATACGGAAAAAAGCGCCAACCCTAGACATATGCGTTTGTCCTCCAGTTCTTTCCTGTTATCCGAAAACCCCATACCGTTTTGCATCCTAGTATCATAGTACTTGAATTCGTTCAGAAACTCAGCCACACACCGGCCTATTATAGCGGTTGGAAAACCTATTTAAGTGTTCCGGCTTTGGCAATTCCGGCTTTGGTCATTCCGGCTTTGGTCATTCCGGCTTTGGTCATTCCGGCTTTGGCAACTTCAAGAAGTTCATGAAGTAGAAAAGAAATGAGAAATTAATGTAAATCGTAAAAAATTTGATTTCTTTTTTTCTTCTTGATGGCACAGTCAGTAAGATATTGTAAGGGCGAAAGCCAGAATGCACATTACCTAACACATTACCCGTTTCTTAGATCATCAACGATGCCCGGTGCACCGCAAGTGACTCTTGGACGGGCGCAGGTTATGACTCTCAGTACTCCCGCTACATCTGCAAGAAGAAACTCATGTAAAGATCGGAGAAGAATTAAATGTTTTTGTTGGACTCTAAAGAGTCTTGATCGTTACAACAAATAAATCTCTATCGCAGTGATTTTCTGTTTATTGACTCCTTCCGGTACTTGACTCTCTACGCGGATGCTCACACACAGAATCGTTTACTATGTGACATATGACGAGCACTTGGCGTGGGTGATTTCGCTGAAAACAAAGCACGCAAAACACTCCCCATTTAGCCTTCTATCGAGCTAAAAGTTGAGAATTTAAAAAAAAACAAGATCTTCTATTATCTAGCCAGCATTTATGAGGTCTAGAAGAGTTTTTATTGGTTTTTTTTCTCCTTTTTCTTTGTCTCCGTGTTTTAGCCGTTTAGGCTAAAAAAACGGGGAAGGCCAGTGATTACATTTTTGGTCTAGAAAACAGAGATGAAAATATACAGAAAAGATCTGAATAGATCTGAACACGGCTAAGGATAGAAATATCCTGAAAGGAACTACCGTAAATACTGTAATTGGACCCCATGGGGTACTATTTTTTCCCTCCCCCTCTAGGGTGGAATACTATTAGAGGAGTGGGGTCCAATTACATTATTTTATAGATACATTTTATGTAATCGTAATCTGACTAAAGCCAACCTTGTCAACGGGAAACTTTGCATAAGTTCTGATACCGGCATAAGTTCTGATACCTTTCTTTTGTAAGCCCGAAAAATAACAAAATTTAACAAATATTCAAAAGAAATAACAACAACAGGTAAAAACAATTACAATAAATGCTCGAAATGTTGACCATTAACTTCAATACATTTTTTAAGACGCTTCTGAAAATTTCCTATGATATTTGCTCATTGCACTGCGGTAATGTCGTTCCAAGCTCAAATTAAAGAAGTTTTTAGCTGGTTTATCGAAATGAACCTTTTTTTAGCAATCTTCTGCTCCATATGGAGCCTTATGGAGCAGAAGATTGAACGCTGAAATGACCATTACTTAGCTAAAAAAATTCAGTTACCATAGCGCTTTGATTGTTTTGTCGAAATTTAAATGTTTTCATTGAGTTCAAAAGGATTTTCTTGAAAAATTCCTCCAAATAATCAGCTTTCTAAATTCGCTCGGCAGCTTTTGACAAGTTGTTGTTGGTGCCCTCAAAGAAAGTTGGTGGTTGGTGGCGCCTCAAGCCTCATCCAGCCATGGCTTCTTTTGAAAGAAATTCATGCAATTCATGCGATAATGTCGTTCCAAGCTCGAATTAAAGCAGTTTTTAGCTGGTTGATCGAAATGAACCTTTTTTTAGCAATCTTCTGCTCCATAAGGCTCCAAATCGAGTAGTCCATTGCGTTCAAATCGGGCGAATTGCTGGGCCAGACGTCTTTACCCTAGAAACAGGGAAACAGCGTTTGGCACATTTGCAAAGTTGAGTGAGCTTCATGAGCGGGTCTTTCTGAAGCACAAAAGGCCGGCCATTGAAATGTTGTTGTACCCAAGGCTTCAAGGTATCTTGTAAAATGGTTTTCTGATAGATTCGCTTACAATTCACTTCACTTCGTAATTAAAACGAAAACATTCAAAATTTTATTACGACAATCAAAAAGCTTTAGCAAACATTTACCTGACACATTTAAGCTCGAAGTGATGGAGTTGCCGGAGCTTCCCGAAGTTAACATCGCACTCGGAGACGAATCAGAAATCAAAAACGTAAAAATTGACATAACTATTGGCCAAGACTTTTGTTGGAACATTATTCAACAAGAACCTTGGACAATTCATCACAGCGCTTTGGTGCAAATTGAAACAAAACTAGGAAAAATTAAATGTGGAGAGCTAGATTTATGTTTAAACAAGAAGGTCAGGAACACTACGAACATTTCCACAGCTATCGGTTACATAACCGAGGAAAATTTTTGGGACCTAGAAAGAATGGGCATCACTGAGTGTCCTGAAGCCGCAGCTTCAGAAGAGGAGCAACAAGAAGTTGTCACAAAATTCAAAGAAGAGGTCCAACTCGTTAATGGAAAAATTCATGTAAAGTTCCCTTGGATAGAGAAAAATCCTAAAATTGATGATAATTTCAAGCTTGCGATGCAATATTTGCATAGCCTCATCAAACAACTTAAAG